TCCCGCTGAAGAAGTTGAATGGCGCAGCCGAGGAGCCAGGGGGACTGGGTCCAAACTCTGGAGACCAGGCAGCTAGGATGTTCGATCCAGGACCAATGATGTCTGGTTTTAAGATGCCACCGTTATCTATGCTTGGACCTCTTGATGAGAAGGCTGTGACTGCTGGTGAAGGATTAATGCCAAACTTTGTGCCTTGGAATATGATGCTTGCCATTGGAGTTCCTTGCGTGTCGGTGGAGTTGATTGATTTCTCATAATATGACATGAGTTTTAATGCATCCCGTCTATTTAAGTGAGATGCCGGGAGAACATGAGTCTCAGCCCTCGTTGTGAATCGTCGGTATGATCGGTTGATGATAATTACTCCGGCACCTCCTGCCATCTTGACAACCTCACTCTTCCAAGCATTGTGATGATGCCCACCAATCTCGCATACAACAATCTTATCTGTCACATTGACATTGTCCAGTGATCCAGGTAGGCAAACCCTGTTATAGAAACTTGCTTCGGTGCCTGCATAGTAAATGGGCAAGAGGGTCAAAGTGTAATTGGTGGGTTGATAGGCAGATTCTCCTTCGAGTTCCATCCCATTTGCCAGTTTGACTGTTGCCATTATTCTCCTGTCTGTGGAGCTGGCTCCAACCGTCAGCATCCAAGGAAAATAATTGAATATTTGGCTCCGAAATGGGCCATCGTTACCAGCAGCGCAGCTGACAAAGATCCCCTTTTCCACAGCCCGCAATGTTCCCATTGCTATGGTGTCTTTGTAGTATGCTCGAGGTGTGACTCTTTGAATTGATATCGAGAGAACATCGACTCCATCATCAATTGCTCTGTCAATACCTGCCAAGATGTCACTGTCATCACAACAAGCTTTGTAGATAGCAAGGTGGGCTCTAGGTGCAATTCCAGATGCATTGCCATTGGCATTGCCAAGGACATTGGCATTATGCACAAGGCTTCCAATGGCAGTTGCAGATGTATGGGTTCCATGCCCGACATCATCAATTGGACTTGGATGATATCCACTCTTAAATGCAATCGCACCAATAATCTTGTTGCTGCAGACCGAGGTGTCGTTGAAGTCGCATCTACCCTTCCATTTGGCAGGAGGAGGTGGGATTGTACCATCATCTCTAAAGGAGGGATGTGTGGGGATGATCCCGGTATCAATAAGGCCGATTATCACCCCCTCACCTTGGTTGGATTTGTTCCAAAGGCCGTTTTGTTGGTCTAGTTGGAGAAAGTGGGGAGTGTAGGTGGTTGAGAGTGAAAGTTTCTCATCTGGGAGGGCATATACAAATCCATCTGTTTCTTTTAAGCCCAACACTTCATCTTCGGTTAGCTTTGCAGCAAATCCACTGATCACATGGTGGTAAGAGTAGATAACACGTGGTTCGTCGGAGTTTAGGAGGCTCGTAGGCAAGAAGGATTTGTGGTATTCCTCAAGTTCCTGGTTAGAGAGGTGTGCATTCTGGGGCTTTTGTACGTGGATTATATAGGTGCGCAGTTGGTCTCCCATTACGGGAAGGCGTATGTTGCTTTGGCTCTTGAGAAGCATCGGGTAGATCAAGAAGTTGACAAAAAAAGTTTGAAATGAGAGGGGAGAAAGCTTCTTACCCTCCATTGAGAACTACAGGAGAAGAGGAAGAGATGGATATCTTATAAGCTTCTTTCTTCCAGTTAAGTACCTCGTTTGCATTGCATTTGCCTTGGACCCATAGCAACGATATGTATATGTTCTCACGAGATAGATGGCACATTTTTGCTATTAGTTATTCTTCTATAGATTGGGTGATGGTGGGAACACTCAATAATGTTCCACTCAAAGCGTGGCTCTTTCGCGGAGAGACATTTCCTTTTACCAAAGAGAAGGTACGTGATTGTTATTTCAGCCACATAGCGTTTGGATGTGTTTCGGTTTGCTCCTTGGTAATAATAATCCTGCTCATCGATATGCTTATAGGTTACTTGCAATAATGCGAGTTCCTTGCTTGTCTACTAGCTTTCCAGGTTTAGAAAGCACTGTTTCCATAGGAATTTGTACCTGCTCAGAGGATTGACAGTAAACTAAAAATAGGTGCTTCCACTGTAAAATTATGATTGATCCTTCTGTAGTATTGTTGATTAGGAGAATCATGCTGCATTGCCAAACATATCTAAAGTAGGAACACTTTGTGCTTGGTTGGCATTGTTGCTGCTGCCGCTGCATCATGTGCAGCCTATTATTTGTCATGTGAGCTCAAGATGATGGTACAACTACTTGTTTCTTATTTTGGGACAAAATTGGTTATTGGGCTAAAGTATATTATCACTTTCTTGAAGCTTTTGAGGAATTTAAGGGAGCTTTAGTGGCAAAAAGCTTCAATATTTTAAACAACGAAGAGTATTAGATGATAATAAAAATAAAATAAAATAGGGAGAAAATATTTTTTTATACTTTTGGGTTCACTTTGTGGTGTGGAGTTCAATATTCATTTTCTGGCATAGTATTCCATTCAGCAATAAATGCTTTACTTTATTTTGTTGGTCATATGTTGTACTCCCGAATTTATTCATAGATGATTTGCTGCGGTTTTTGCTCTTTGTAATATAGCAAGGTGCTATGATTTTGATGCATTATCACCACACTTTCTGCTATCAAACCTTTCCAATCTGGCCGACCTGCATTGTATACTTTCTCCTATAGTTACATGCATAACTCTTCTCCATCACTACAATGATTGGGATTGATTTTTTTTTTGGCTAAGATCTGTCGTATCTAGGTAGTAGCCAATGAGCAAAATGGTTGTCAGATTTAGGTCTGCATGATATATGAAAATAAGCAGGTTACAACCTCCTAGAGTACAAAAAAAGGCAAGGAAACACTTCACAATTTAAGCCTTAAAACGGAGATAGGTCAAATAGGATGCTAGGGTTTAGTGATCCATCTCTGTTCAGAAAATACCCAGCTACTGTTGTAGAGCAGCGTAACATTTAATGTAACACTCACGTTAATATGACGGCTCGCTCTTCATTGTTTCTCCTTTTGTTATCTTGCTCTTAAACTATATACACTAACAAGAAGCATGCAAAAGAAAGAAATATTACCAGAACTGACACCGCTGTCATGGACCATAACATATAATTCGGTTAAGAGTTTCACACGAAAAGTTGTAGGAAACAAGAAATAACCCTGTCCTCTTTATGCTAGAGAAACTAGTGGTATTGGTTTGCTTGTTAGTTGTTAGGATCAATTACATGCTTCTTAGTTGAACTTAGCCTTCACAAGAGATGAATATATTCATATTAAAGCACAACGTGAATACAAGATCACGATTGATTCTAGGTAAAAGTAACAGAAATGGGACTCTTTACAACATGCTTGTCTGAGACCCAAGAAAGTTGACCTTCAGAAACCTGCCCTTTTCTTCGAGCTGGTGCTTTGGCAGTAAATGTCACATAGAAGTGTCTTCTCTCATAGCGTTTATGAAACTGGAGTCTGTAAGGATCAACCTCCACTCTCACACCCTCCGGTGCTTCTATCTTCACAGAGTAGACTGAATCCGCCTCCCCTACATTTTTCACCTTCCGTCTGATAGTCTTTCTTGAAGGAGATCCCAAAGACAATGATATCGACGGATAATTTAGTTCCTCTGCACTCTTTTCACGAATCCTGGAGCACCGAATCTGGTGTTGGGTGATAGTAGCGATTTGTCGGTCTGTATATCCTAAGCCACAAAGATACCTGATGTAACTTTGAGAATGATGGTTATAAGCGAGACCTGGGTCATTGGCTTTTGATGGGTTTACGTGTCCACCACCTAAGGCAAAGGGGCTTGCAATGCCATTATACTCATCTACAATAGGCTTTCCTTCATGGTCTAGTTTGTCTGCTGTGGTCATGATTGCTGATTTTATCGTAGATGGTGGCCAGTTAGGATTACTGCTCTTGAGTAGTGCTGCAATCCCAACAAGATGAGATGCAGACATAGAGGTGCCACTGAGAATGTTGAAATTTGAACCAGAAGCTGTCATGGGATTAGTTATAATCTCAGCTGGCCATGCTGCTAGAATGTTTGTGCCGGGCCCAACGATATCTGGCTTCAGGATGCCGCCATTTACCATGCTTGGCCCTCTAGAAGAAAAGGAGGCAACTGCAGGAGATGGAAGAGCCCCAAACTGTGTGCCTCTGAATATTATAGTTGCTTTAGGAGTGGAGTTTGTGGACAATTTGACATAGGATATGATTTTAAGTCCATCGCCGAAGCTTATATGGGCTGCAGGAAGGACATGAGCTTCAGAAAATGTAGTATCTCCTTGCTCGTTTTGGTTCAGTATTATCATGGCAGCGCCTCCTGCCATCTTTACATTCTTTCCCTTTTCAATGTTAGTGACGTTGTATCCAGTCTCACACATCACAATCTTTCCTTTAACATCTATTTTATCGAAGGAGTCAATGACACAACCCCTTTTGCCGCCTTGACCTTCAAATCCAGGAAATACAAGGGGTAACATTGTGGAATTGAATGTTTCTGGTTGGTAAGCGGATTCTCCATCTAGTTCTGTTCCGTTTTCGAGTCTTACAGTTGCCCTTATTCTTCTATCTGTGGAGCTTGCTCCCACTGTAAGTAGCCATGGGGCATCATTGACTACCGTTCTTTCCTTTGGTCCATCATTACCTGCAGCAACAACAGTAAGGATGCGATGCCTCAGTGCTGAAAAAGAGCCTATAGCGATGCTATCCTCATAGAAAGGGTGGGGTCCAACACCAGTCTCATCATCCTCTTGTGAAGTTGGAAAATGAGAGCCTATGGAGATCGATATTATATCCACGTTATCGTATATAGCTTGATCTATGCCTGCTAATATATCACTGTCATCACACCCATCTCTTGAGCAGACTTTATAAATTGCCAGGTGAGCTTTTGGTGCCATCCCTGATGCTGTTCCATTCGCATTGTTGAGAAAATTTGCACCGTCAACAAAGTTTCCTGCTGCAATGCTAGCCACATGGGTTCCATGCCCAATACTATCATCATCAACCGAGGTTGGTACACCACCCTGAAATGCTCTTGCACCGATGATCTTATTGTTGCAGGTGCTCGAATCACAAGTTCCCCTCCATCTAGATGGAGGCGCATGTACACCTTTATCATTGAAAGAAGGGTGAGAGGGAAATATACCAGTGTCGAGAATTCCGATTATGACCCCCTCGCCATAGCCACTATCATACCAAATGCTTTCACGATCATTTAGGCCTAAGAAGTTAGGTGTGTAAGTGGTGAGGAGTGGGTGACGGCGGTTCGGATAGGCATAAAGGAAATCATCAGTCGACGCCATTGCATGAACTTCATTAGCAGTGAGTCGGGCAGCGAATCCGCTAATTGATTCACGATAGGAGTAGACCAACCGAGGCTTGCCCGAGTCTAGGGTGGTGTTTGGTAGGAAGGATTTGTGGTAGTTCACCCTGTTGATTTCATGGTGTAAGTTCGTGCGATTGGGCCTCTGCACGTGGACGATGTATGTTTGAACCTGGTTCGGGTTGTTTCCAAGCTCACCCGTTATTGCAGAGAGTTGGCCATGAATCATAAGAAAAGAGGAAAGATGGAGGATAATGGCTAGCATTAGGGGGATAGGTGGCTTGTGTTTCTCCATTGATGTTAGGGGGTATTTCCCCAAGATGAATTTCATGTTGATCTTATTAAAAAATTGAAGGTTCCTAGTTTTTTTAGTGATTATGACACTACATTACAAATTAGAGTTTATCAGGAGTGGATAATGGGTGTAGTACTAAGGCAAAAATGATAAGGAATCAAGAAATGTAACTAAGAGCAGGAACATCTTAACATAGTTCTGATAGAGGAGGATCAACCTTCATGGGATTCCTTATTTGGAATAAGATTGTTATATCCAATTTTCTGTTCCTTTTGATTGTAGTGCTTCGTTATTACATTTCTGAGATCTAGTTGGCTCGAATAACTGCACTTGGTAGCAAGGTGATGGATAGCATTGGATGCCTTCACACACTCAAATAATGTGCTGGATCTTTAGGTGCATATATAGATAAACTTGCATCAATGATTGTACAAGCAGTTAAATTTATGCGCAAGCAGAGCTTATAATGCTCATCATAGGATGCCATTCATACTAAATGTCAATTGTTATTGGCTTCAATTGTGGACTTCTTAATGATTCTTTGCCCCTGGGACATGACATTGGTAGGTCACTATCTTGATCATAACAGAGACAATCTATGCCATAGCATCTATTATTTGCCTTGTCCAATAAAACTTGCTCTTACCAATTTCGTACAAAACCTTAAGCAACACTTGTGCGTAGTCCTGAATTTTTTTCTTTATTGGGCGGCGTGGGTGGGGCTGAGTTTTTCTGTTGTGGTTTGTTTTGGGTTTTTTTTTTCTCCCTTGCGTGGGTGCTGCGTACGTACACGCTTGGGGAAGAGGAAGAGGGGGGGGGGGGGGGGTGACGATGGTTCTTCTTCTTCTCTATCTAGTCAATTAACATGACTGAATCCTGGTCATAATTTGGGTGGAGGGGCGGGCTGAGCAGTGAAATAAAAAGACATAATAAAGCGTTTCTTTCGGCATTAAACTTATGTTAGGATGGCCTCTTTGAGGAGCTTCTGTATCTGTTTTTGAGTAGAGGGTAATTGTACAGTAAATAGTGATCCTAGAACACGGGTCATGATAACATTTATGTGATAAAAAATGCTAATGAATAATCACTCCCACAGAATAAAAGCTGTCATAGTTTTGTAATTAACATGGAAGAACATGAACAGAATAACACTATCTATTAGTGAACTCTGGCCTGCTAAGCATCTATGATCTATCTTATACTAACTGAGGAAATTTTGTGCAAATCATCAAATGAAGGTGACAGCTATTGGGCTTCTGACTACATGCTTTCCAGAGATCCACATCAGCTGTCCTTCAGAGATCTGGCCTTTAGTCTGAGGTACACCTTTGATACTAAATTCGACACTGAATCTTTTCTTCCGACCGATCTCATAAAAGTGAAGCCTGTTCGGAGAAACATTCACTCTCACTCCTTCAGGTTCTTCTATCTGTACCGAATAAACCTCATTGGCTTCGCCTACATTTGTCACAGTTCTTGACACTATTTTCTTCTGCCCTGGTTTTAGGTGTACCGATATTGAAGGATAGTTCAACTCTCCAGCGCCGGTGTCAATAACGCCAGCACAATCAACCTGATGTTGAGCAATAACTTTGAGTTGCTTACTCGTGAAGCCCAAGCTGCAAAGGTAACGAGTATAATACTGGCGTGGCTGAATATCATACACAAGACCTGGGTCGTTAGCTGCGGATGGATTCACTTGACCTGAACCAAGAGCGAAGACGCTTCCTTTGCACATATTATACTCATCAGCAATTGGATTTCCTTCCAGGTCTTTTCTATCAGCAGTTGTCATGATTGCAGACTTTATTGCAGCAGGTGACCATTTTGGGTGATTTTTTCTGAGCAAAGCTGCAATCCCTGCAATATGAGGTGTAGCTATAGAAGTACCACTGAGGAAATTGAATGCTGAAGATGATGAGCTTGTTGGCCAAGATGACAGTATATTTGCACCCGGAGCAATGACATCTGGCTTCAATATACCACCGTTTATCAAACTCGGGCCTCTTGAAGAGAATGTGGCAACAGCTGGTGACGGGCGAGCTCCAAAGTTTGTGCCATCAAATTCAATTGTCGCTGTCGGAGTAGAATTCGATTCTAAGTAGGATAAAACCTTCATTGCATCGGCGTATCTCAAATGAGCTGATGGGAGAAAGTGAGGTTCAGAAAATGTAGTAGAGCCTAAGTAGAATGGATTCATGACTACCATTGCAACCCCTCCAGCTTTCGCAACAAATTTACCCATCTCAATGTTCTTAATTCCTTCAGCTTTGCACGCTACTACCTTTCCTCTGAGATTAAGAGAATCAAATGAGGCATTGTTGCAGCTTCTATGTTCTTGATTCTTATAGCCAGGAAAAACTAAAGGCAACATTTTGGAAGTAAAGTTTCTCGGTTGGTAAGCAGATTCTCCTTCAATCTCCATCCCATTTCCTAGCTTTACAGTTACGGTTATTCTTCGGTCCATCGTGCTTGCTCCTACCGTTAAAATCCATGGAGCATCGTTAAGTATTATGCTCTTATATGGACCAAAATTGCCTGCAGGCAAGCAAGGCAATATACCCTTCTTGATCGCAGCGAGCGATCCTATAGCAATGACATCGTTATACATGGGCACGATGCGTGGATGATTTATGGAGATCGATAGAATGTCGACTCCATCGCTTATGGCTTGGTCTATGCCTGCTAGCACATCAGTTGCAGTACATTCTTCTCTGAAACAGACTTTGTACACAGATATGTGCGCGTGTGGCGCAATTCCCGATGCCACACCCTCTGCCTGGCCGAGACCATGAGCATCAGGAACCATGCCACCTGCTGCAATGCTGGCAACATGGGTCCCATGACCATGACGTTTGTTGGCCACCGGTGGTGGCCTGCATCCACCTCTGAACGAAATTGCGCCGATGAGCTTCTTGTTGCACGACGAAGGTTGTCGGAAACCACATTTTCCTTTCCATTTGGCCGGAGGAGGGGGGATCGAGCCGTTGTCATTGAACGAAGGATGAGCAGGGTCGATCCCACCGTCAATCACTCCGATTATGACGCCCTGTCCGTAGGATGAGTCAACCCATAGACCATCCTCCTCCCACCGGCTGAAGCCCAAGAACTTGGGCGAGTACGTCGTCGCTAGGGAAAGGCGATCATCGGGCTGTGCATGCACGAACCCGTCGATGGATTCCATCGCCTGGACTTCTTCGGCAGTTAGCCTAGCAGCAAAGCCGCTGATCACGTCGCGGTATGAATAGATCAGCCGTGGCTCGCCGGAGTATAAGGTGGCGTTCGGCAGGAAGGATTCATGAAAATTTTCGCGATCGGTATCGTGTAGGAGTTTGGTGCCTGTAGGATTTTGTACATGGACAATGTAGGTATGGATTTGAGTAGAATTGCGGAGCAGAAAGGAATTAGTTGAAGCAGTGAGTAAGAGGAAGAGGACCAAGTTGATGTATTTGTTTATGGTTGTCATGGTGATTCATTGCAGAAGAGATCGAGGAGAAAGACTGAAACATGCAGTGGGTTATCGTTGAGTGGGTGAAAAGTTTTGGGTGTACGCGCAGCATGAAGAACACGTGAGATGCGTGGGGAAAGTGTGGATCATTTGTAAGCTTATCATGATTCATGAAGTGGGCGCAAATTTACTCCACACTGATATTTTGATTGGATTTAGACAATAATTTATCTAAATCGTAATTTAGATAAATCAAACACTCATTATGTCCTCCATGAATTGCCTACATTGTTAATTTGAAATACAAATACAAATCACAATGCGTTAGTAGATGAAAAAAATCACGATCACCAACCAAAGTAAATCAATGACTACGAAAAAAAAGTAGTGGTTCCTCTACTATTTTTCGTTAGTGAAGGAAAATCTACATTTTAAGTTTTTTGGGTTCTCAAAAATCCTCTTCGACTTCAAATGTTTTTCAGAAAACTCTTCGGATTTACCCCCTCAGGTTCTAAAATTTATGTTAAAAAAACTTCTCTTTCCTAAAAAAAACGTCAGCTCATTCGTGCGGGTTGCTGTTCTGATACCCACAGGAAATAGAAACGCAGCCCGCCACGACAGGAGAGGAAGCTTCGCCCCCCCTGTTCGTGGGGCCCAGCGGAGACCTGGGGCTCACGAGAAGAGCACCTGTGTGGGACCCACGTTTCCGGTATAAGAAGTCGGGGGCGACTGCCGGCGCATGAATGAGTACGGTTTCTCTATAGACCGTTGATTGGAAGTGATGGACGGATCGAACGGTTGAGGATTTTTTTCTATTTTTATATTAGTACGGATGTGGATAATAACAACAACTCCAAGTTGTCACAGTATTGTCAAGCCGTTTCCCCCGACAGAAACAACATGGCCAATTTTGTGATATTCTGGGAGCTAGCGTCAACACCATGCAAAGTAGAGTATATCATTTTTTTTCCTCGCTATATAATCCGATTTTTAAGTTATTTTTTTGGTTTGCTACAGTATTCGGTTGTGTGTGCGCTACAGTAATATTTTTTAAACAGTATCTCATTTCATGTATGTTGCAGTAATAATGACGTAGTGAATGTTACTGTATTATTTACTGTAGTATGAATAGTAAATTTTGGGTTCTCCCATTTGTATAGAGAGGTAGATATATGTGACTTTTGACCCAATGCTCCTTTTTTGCAAATTGCATATCCTAATAAGAGCTTGAAATGAAAACAAGTTAAAATACTCTCTCTATAGTGCTCAATTTACAAATACATAAATAAATAAATAAATAAAATCGTTAGCTTCACTTAAATTGTAAGTTTTGTAATCATGGCAAACTTACAGATAATTGAATTCAAGCTTTAGTGTTTGAACATCTGAAGGTAACATAACTTTACAAGGTGATCAATAAATAGTTGTATCATTTGTCTTAATAATAATAATAATAATAATTGGTTGTGAGTATTTTGATACTAACTACATAAAATATCAAACATTTTACTGTAGGGGCTGTGCAGACTAGTAACGTCCCATATTTGGAGGGAGATAGGCTTTCAACATTAAGGACAACATGTAATACCTTTATTTCAATGTGTAAATGAATGCAAAAAGTCTAAGACCAAAAATTTGGAATGAGTGCTCTGTTGTTATTGTTGTTACCGGTAAAGTTTAGAAAATCTAATATTTTCTCTTGAAAGAGCGAAAAGGTAAATCGCACATAAATGCTATATAGTTTCACCGACCCTACTCTCAAGCGACATCTATTTTGAAATCGAGCAAATAAATGAATAAATGGTTCAAAGTATTTAAATATTATAGATAATGTCCTAAAGTTAATAAGAACTCAGTTTATCTACGTATCCAAGAACGCCACATGACAGAGAGGGTGCTAAAGTGTAAATTTAATGCATTTAAGTAAGGAAATTTATAAATTGATAACGTTTATATACAACATTGAGTAAACCAGAGGGCACAAAAGACCAATAATTTGAAACTTTGAGGCATGTGTCTGTAATTTTCAAATACTTTGGTGAAGAATTTATTTGATCTATTTTAAAATAAATACGAGATTGGTGAAACTACAGGGAACTTAAGTGCCAAAGTGAATAATAGACGGAAAATTGAAGTATAAACAATTTTGTAAAAATGTGTACGTCGACATGCAAATAAAACTTTCGCATTTTTACAGTCGAAAGTTCATACTAACAGGGGTCTGTCTGTAACTAATCCTTAATTTATTTATTTCAAATCAATACAAAATTTTCACCGAAGAGGGATCCAGTATCCACGATTCAAAGGAGCGGAAATGGCGCTCTCCCCTGAGAATCTCACCATTTCGACTTCTAATTTTCTAGGGTTATTCCAATTCTAAGGTTTCTTAATCTCTCCAATTCCCTCTTCATCTCAATTTGCTATTAATAAATTGCGATTTCTCTCACATTAATCAAAGCCCCCTCAGTGGCACCAAAAAACCCCCCAAATTTGGGGTTTATTTTCCCTCAATTTCGGGATTTTGATTGATGTCCTCTCATTGGTATAGTGGAGGGCAAATTTTGATCGCTTACAGCTAAAGAAAGATTCCAGCTTTTTTGTTTTGGAGGAATAAAGATTGGATTTTTTTTTTTTCCTTCTGTTCTTCTAGATCTAAATATCTATTGCAATTTGGTGGTCTGGGTGGATTGATTGGAGGGAGTTATGGATTCGGCGAGGAGTTGGCTTACTAAGCTTCAGCCACGAGAGAAATCTACGAGCAAGAGGAGAGAAGACGGAAAGGAATCAAGGGATGGGTCGAAACCGCCGATAATAGCCGACGAGGCGCCGTCATCTGCGACGAAGCAGAGAGTTGCTGCTGCGAAGCAGTACATTGAGAAGCATTACAAGGAGCAGATGAAGAATTTGCAGGAGAGAAAGGAGAGGTAATAATTTTTTGAATTTTCGTTGTTCAGGTAATAACTCGACCATGGCGTTATTCAATGATATTGGATATGGGTGGTAATGGAAAAAAAAAATTTAATCACGAAAACTGGACTCTTACTGCATTGACCGTAAATATGATATATGCACTAGCTAGGACTTAGGAGTAGGTATGGAGAAAATATGTCCTTTGAGCTCGATGAGTCTTGTATTCTTTTTTTTTTTAATTTCTTGTTTATTTGTTTTAATAAGTCATTAACATTTATACACTTCAGTGGTATTTGAGCTTGGCTGTAGTTAAGGAGATTCAATCAGGAAAATTACGCTATATGTATTGACTTGATTGAATATAATGAGAACGGGATGGATATCTCGTTTGCTTATTAATTTTGAGTAAAATCTTAAGGGCTCTAATCCAAAAAGTGTCCAGCCATTTTTATCAGCAAAAGGAGGTTAGGACCTCATTTTCCTAATCAAAAGGATTTTTCTTGGTTACAAACACTTTGTTTTGGGGAAAGGAAGAAAATGTTTTGTAATGGAGTTAATGTGGCATCTGAACAAACCTTTCGGAATCTAGGCTTATAAACCTAAGGATATTAAGCCAAAGGACAGATAGGTGCTATCCCAATGTTAAAATTCTTATCCCTAATGAAAACAAAGGAATTTTAATCTGAATCGTCTAAAATTTGTATTCAGGTATAATGATTTGTGCATATACCGGTTCCAATTCTGCTTTAGCAGCATGAGCTTATCTGGAAATTTTCCAGTTTACATCTATGCTGATTTTTCTTCCCTGCCTTGTAAACCTATAGAGGGTGTTGGATCTTTTTGTCATATGCTTTTTTTGGCACGTAAATCTGAGGGGCAAAGATGTGTTCGGCTACTTCTTCTCTTTTATTTTTAGCAGGGTGATCTTCTGTTGAAAATCATCCTACCTGGTATACTTAATGATTTCTCGTCCATGACTTATAGACCTTAGCAGCTTGATTTTTGTTCTTGTAAGGTTGTTTCATGCCTGCAAACATATTATTGATAATTCCCTCTTATGTATTTTGAAAACAGAAGAGACACACTGGAGAAAGAGTTGGCTGATTCTGATGTGTCTGAAGAAGAGCAGAATAATATTCTCAAACATTTGGAGAAAAAGGAAACAGAATATATGCGCATCCAGAGACATAAGATGGGCGTTGAAGATTTTGACTTGCTGACAATGATAGGAAAGGGTGCATTTGGCGAGGTATATTTTTCACCAGAAATGTTTTGAAGCTTTTAGTCTTGTGGATCTGGTTTATTGTTACGTATCTATGCATATTGTTCTGTTTGAATGACTATGAAAGTCAATTGTCCATCCTTCTGAGACACTGATATGAGGAAGTATATCTGTTATTTACCTTTACGTACATTATTTATGTATTGACATTTTACACTACAGATTATCATATTTTCACTTCCTTGCCTAAAATCTGTCCATGTCTTTTTGATGTGTATCAAGTTCTTTTCTGATCATTTATTCATGATTATAAAACTTAATGTGAACTTTGTAACTCATACCCGAGCCCAGTGCAGGATTCAAGTGCATGGAAGTGTTCGGTATATTTTTCATGTTATTGAGGTTAAGTATGTTCAAGAAACGAGGGAGAAGCTAGTTATTCAGATGTTACCAGGAAAAGTATTTCCTCTGATCTTAATGGTGTTTTCCCTGTTGGGAGTATGTTCACCTGATTTGTATGCGTAGCATCCCTACTTCTAAAATTTGCAGGGTTCTTTTGCCTGCATTATGTTCTGTGACTGTTCAATTGTTGTCTGACTTCTGCTATGTATTCATCACTATGTGTTATCTTGATTTAATATTTTAATCTCTTCTTGATTTTCTAGTGCAGGTCAGGGTTTGTAGGGAGAAGGCAACGGGAAACGTGTATGCGATGAAGAAACTCAAGAAATCAGAGATGCTACGACGAGGCCAGGTTGAGCATGTTAGAGCTGAGAGAAATCTTCTTGCTGAGGTCGATAGCAACTGTATAGTAAAGCTTTATTGTTCTTTCCAAGACAGTGAGTTTTTGTATCTTATTATGGAGTACCTACCTGGTGGAGACATGATGACATTGCTTATGCGAAAGGACACATTGACTGAGGATGAGGCCAGGTTTTATGTCGGAGAGGCAGTCCTCGCCATTGAATCTATTCACAAACATAACTACATTCACAGGTTTACCAAAGGACTAATTAATTGTTGCATAACTTGCTGCCTTGATTTATTATAAATAACGATGTTCTTGTGATGTTACAGAGATATCAAACCTGACAATCTGCTATTAGACAGATTTGGTCACCTAAAGCTCTCAGATTTTGGGTTATGTAAACCATTAGACTGCAGTAACTTTCCGAATCTGAATGAAGCACAAGGCAAGAATGACAGTGGGGCCCTACAAAATGATGGAAGTCCTGCTATACCGAAGCGCTCACAACAGGAACAGCTACAACACTGGCAAAAGAACAGAAGAACTCTGGTAATTCCTATTTACTACTGTTTACACTATCTTCCTAGTAATAGCGCACATCATGTTTTTGATAATATTTGGCATCATAATAGGGGTTCTATCTATTGGCTCGATGAAATATAAAACTTAAGAACTTTTCTTCTTCCTTTACCTAGAATTATGTTGTTCATTTATGGCATAATTTAAATTCCATCAGTTATACTATTCTCATAATTACAAAATCATTCTTGTGCATAAATAATTTCTTACATATCATCTCGAGCACACATTTAGTTAATTGCATTGGTTTTTTTATTAATTTTGTCAGTAATGGTATATAGTTAGACAAGCTTTTAAGAAGTATATAATGCATTGCACTAAATTTAACCGTACGTATATGTGATTTGAAATGTTATTAGATGAAGATAACAGTTGTTCTTTTTTTTCCTGAGCCTGTTGGTTTTAAAAATGCAGGCCTACTCTACTGTTGGCACACCTGACTATATTGCTCCTGAAGTCTTGTTGAAAAAGGGTTATGGGATGGAGTGTGATTGGTAATATTATTTTTGACATTTCATATTTAGTCTCCATGGACGAACATATATACATTTAACTGTTTTTCTGGAATAGGTGGTCGCTCGGTGCTATTATGTATGAGATGCTTGTGGGGTATCCTCCATTTTATTCTGATGAACCAATGACTACATGTAGGAAGGTAATTTGAAGTAATGCTTGTAGAACCAGATCTTTATTTGATTACTAATTAATCTATCCATATCAAGTAATATAGATTCTCCGATCCTTCCTTTTCATATGTGTACCTAATTGGTTTTTCCAAAAAAAGTGTTCTTAATTGGAAGGTTGTCTTTTTTCATGCAACTTACTGGTCATTTAATATTACCTTTACAAGATCGTACCAGATTGCATATCCTGTTGTTATTTCACACTGAACTCACTGACATCCTTCCATTGGTCATGAACCATCTTGTTAAACATTAACTATCATAACCCAGTAAAAAGTCACATAAAATAATAAGAAGAATGTTTGAAGAGAACAATTAATGGTTAATTGGAAAAACTAAAGAGGTGGGAGATATACACTAAGCATCATATAGGATAAAAAGTGGCGGTCTGAAGGTGCATTTTAGCAGGCGATTCTCTCCTTGCTAATGTATACCTCCGCCTAGTTTCAAATGAGAAGGAAGAAGAAAAATAGCAAAAAGAAATCCCTAAATAGAAAGATAAGAGATTCAATATTTGTATATCCATCTCAAGCAAATGCTAATACTGCATCTAAGGAGATAGCGAGTTTTTCGATTTGAGCTGAGATGGAAAGCACAGGACCAAAGGGTGCTAAGAGGAAAATGCAAATGGATGAAATCCTAGCCAGATCTAATCCCCTTTCAGATCCTCATCAGCTGAGATCTGGAATTCAGGTCACTCGACAGTTAAGTTCTTCTAACTCTACCTTATGAGCGGATTAAGTAGATGATGACATTGAATCTGGTTTGATTATGAATGAATATCTGGATGTAGAAAATATCGAAGTCTCGTCTCCTTTAGCTACTCAATCTAAGAATGGAATTGATGAATCCGTAGTTCCAAATCTGGAAAGAGGAAAATGGTAAATCTGATAATATAGTATAATGTAGTTCAGAAAGATGATGAGACTATGGAGAATATTGAACCTGGATCTAGGAAATCTTTTGTTAGCCTTTTTGCTGATAATAGGAAATTCGAAAATGGGTTATCTCTAAGTTTCATGTCATCTTCCCAATCTAATACAGTTTCATTCAATGCTGATGAATGGAAAGAGGGAGAAGATTTTTGGAAATATGCTTTAATAGGGCATGCCATTAGATTGAATGCTAAATTCAAATCTATGGAATCTTATGTTAATAAATTTTGGGGCAAAATTTCAATTCTGAGGATTTCCTTAATCAAGCAAGGATTATTTCTTTTTTATCTTCAAATTGAAAAACAAATAAGAGATGTTCTAGAGGCAGGTCCTTGGTTTTTTGGATATAGACTTCTGACGCTAAAGCCATGGAGTATAGATACAGATTTGGAAAAGTTACAGGATTTTTATTATCCAAAGTGGGTTTAGTTTCCTAATTTGCGTCTTAACATATGAAGTTCAACTGGCATTAGCAAGGTAGCTAGCCTCATTGGAAATCCAATTGCTACTGATAAGCTCACAGCTACAAGGCAGAGATTGAGCTATGCTAGAGCTTTGTTGGAAGTGAAATTATCACTAAAGGAACCTTTACCTGATCAACTGGTTATTCAAGGACCTGGTGGAAGGAGCTATATGCAGAAAGTCTTATATGAATTCAAACCAAGATGATGTTCCTTATGTAGCATGGTTGGACATGTGACTGAGCAATGCAGAAGAAATTTTGTTAAAAAGATATGGGTTCCTGTTAACAGCCAGGCTGGAAAAGATGCACAAGGTCCTATAGAGCATGCAGTTCGTAAGAATGCTTCTGGACAACCTGCAAGGGATTCTATACTCCATGACAAACATGTGCAACATGGGACTAGTGAAAAAGGCTTTAATACTGGACTATCTGATCAGGGTGCACAATCTGATACAAAACATGCACATCATGAGGCTGAAGTGTAGGAAACCAGAAACAGAAATAGGAACTCTGAACCTGTTATTGCTCATCAATTCTCATCTCCAAAATTTGTGGACGAGAGGGGGGTTAGTCCCGGCTTATCAAATCAGGATGTACAAACTGTCAGGAAACATGCACACCATGAGGCTGAAGTTCAGGTAAACAGATCTTCTGAACATTTTACTTCTCAACAATTCTCATCTCCAACTGTCAATATATCTGGGTTTACAAGTGTCAATAGAGCTAATGCAGTAAGGAGAGTAAATGTTGCTGAGGTGGCGCTTCATGTATTCAACTATCTCATTTCTCTCTTTTGGAGAAGCACATATCTGAATTTGACCCCTCTAGTGTTGATAGGAGTGGGATATCCAATAATGTATCTAGCTATTTGGAATATTAAAGGATTTAATAAATCCTCTAAACACATGATTGTGAAGTAATTTATACATGATTATAAACTCTCTTTCTTAGCTCTCTTAGAAACAAAGCTTCCTAGTAACAAGATGCAGCTCTTAGTAAAGAAAATAACAGAAGACTGGAAATGGATCTCAAATGTTCATGAAGCAAGCTATGGAAGAATTTGGATTCTCTGGTATAATGATTTCTTCACAGTTCAGAATATTAAATCATCAGAACAATACATGAGTCCATGACATGTTCAATTGAATCCAGAGATGATAGACTCGCATGTTTATGTATTATAGTCTATGCACTCAATCAAATGGTAGACAGGAAAAGCCTCTAGCATGATTTGCTGGCATTCAAACAAAATGTCAATTGTCCTCGGCATGGTTTTAAATATCGACCGATAATCCGATATTATCGTCGGGTTATCGAATTTGGGAGATTTTCGCTAAGATAACTAGGATTTTTAATCGGTTATCGTTTTTTGAGGTTTATTAGTGAGTTATCGGCGATAAAGGCACTTATCGGCCGATAAGTATGCTCTAAATATCAGCTTTATTGGCCGATAAGTAGGATTTGAGAGCTTTTTTTTGGATTTGCTCTTTGAATGTTTACAAATTATGAACTATTTGTTGCTTTTGGAACTTGGTTAATTAGTGATTAGTTTATGTTTGTTTATGGATATTCATAATGACTCATATCTACTAAATATCAACTTAGTAAGTTAGTTTATGAATCTTATGATTAAACAATAATTATGTAGATGTGTAGATGGTTCTTCATTCTTGATGTTATCTTATTATTTGCTTGTTTAATATTCTATTTTGACTAACATTATATTTTTCAAGCTTATGTTTGTTTATTATTTGCTAGTATATTACTTCGATAAATACTACTTCACCGATATATCCCCGATTTTCGCTATTCGATAAGGATTTTGACCGTCCGATAAATCCCTGATAGGTGACATTTAAAATCTTGCTGACTCCCTAGTTGATTGGTGGAGATTTTAATGCAATTACCTACAATGATGAGAAGATAGGGGGTGCACCAGTAACTGAAACTGACACAGAAGATTTCCAGAATTTTATCACTTCAAGTCAGCTAATGCATATTAGATCAACTGGATGCAGGATGTTACTTCACTTGACACAGAAGATTTCCAGAATTTTATCACTTCAAGTCAGTTAATGCATATTAGATCAACTGGATGCAAGATGTTACTTTACTTGGTACAATAAGCAAGAGGCTGATACAAGAATTTGGAGCAGATTGGATAGGTGTTTGGTTAATGAGGATTGGATTCTTCTTCATACATCTAGCCAAGTGGAATATTTGATGTCAAATTTGCTTTGACCACTCTCCAGCTCTACTAACAATAGGAGATAATGACTTTGAGGGTAAAAAGGCCACATTCTTTAATATGTGGGTAAAACATTCAGATTTTATTGCAACAGTCAAATTAGTCTGGGAGTAAGAAATCTATGGCTACAGGATGTACAAGTTTCACACAGCTCAAAAAACTTAAGTCTATTCTTAAAGAGTTGAACAAGAAACATTTCATGAATACAAGTGAGCAAGTGATTAGAGCAAACGATGAGCTAGCTGACATTCAAAGGCAACTGAATGATGACCTATTCAACTCAACGCTAATATCTAAGGAAAAGGAAAGCATCAACAAATGTGTCAGGTTGCTGGATTGTGAAACCTCTTTTTATAGACAAAGAGCAAACATTAATAGGGGATTACATGGGGATAAAGGCTCACAATTTTTTCATTCTATCATAAAATAAAATACATTATAACAAAGCTTTGTCTCTATATTCTGAGAATGGATCAAGGATCACTAATATGACTGGGATAATACAGAATTTATTGACTATTATAAAAAACTATTGGATACTGTTGTTTTCACTTCCATACCTGATCCAGAGATGATTTCAAATGGCCCTTTGCTCTCATCTGCTCAAAGAACCATGCTAAGTCTTCCTGTCTCAAGAAAGGAAATAAAGCAAGCTATTTTCTCAATGTCAAATGATAAAGCTCCAGGACCAGATGGATATAGTGCGCTCTTCTTCAAAGCTGTTTGGAGTGTCATTAATGAAGAACTGTGTTCAGCTATTGAGGAATTTTTCTGCTCTGGAAGGATGCTTCGTACGTTTAATACTACACCCATCACTTTAGTGCCTAAAATTCTCAACCCCAAATTTGCTGCTGATATCAGACCTATCTCTTGTTGCAATTATGTATATACAATTATAACAAAAATCATTGCATCTAGAATTCAAAAAGTTAAAGGGTATTTGATTAGTGATGCTCAGAGTGCTTTTGTTAAGGGAAGACTGGTCTCAAGTAATATTCTCCCAGCATATGAACTGATCAAACATTATAGCAGAAAACACACCTCTCCCAGAGCTATTCTGAATATTGACTTGAGGAAAGTATTTGATACTATTAGTTGGGATTTTCTTAGATCCATGTTGATAGGGTTGTGATTCCCTAAAAATATGATTTTGTGGATCATGGAATGCATTTCAACTCCAAAGTACTCCATATCACTTAATGGTTCAATACTTTCAAGGAACAAGAGTGTTAAGGCAAGGTGATCCATTATCCCCCTACATGTTTGTGATCGGAATGGAGTATTTGTCAAGAAAGCTAAACACTCTCAAAGGAGATAGGCTATATAAATTTCATCCTAAATGTTCCAGAATGAAGATAACTCATTTAATTTTTGCAGATGACCTTCTCCTGTTTGGTGAAGCTGATATGAACTCAATAACAAGATTGAATAATTGCCTCCTGGAGTTTAGTCAGGTATCAGGATTAGAACCAAATCCTGCAAAGTGTTACATATATATGAGTGACATAGAGGATAACTTGAAGTCTCAGATATGCACTTACCTGAATTTCTCAGAGGGGATCCTACCAATGAGATATTTGGGTATGCCACTAATCCCAAAGAGGCTTTCATGGCTGGACTGTTCTTCTCTGATAAGTAAGGTTTCTGAACAAATTCAAAGCTAGCAAAATAAAAGGACCCTGTCATATGCTGGAAGGTTACAATTGATTAAATCAGTTATATTGGGAATTCAAATCTTTTGGATTAGCAATTATATACTACCAATCAAAGTGCTAGAGAAGATTGATAGCATGTGCTTTGCTTTCCTTTGGGGTCATAAAGTTCACTTGGTCTCTTGGGCATCTATCTGTCATGATAAGAAGCATGGTGGTCTAGGATTGTTCTCCGCAAAATATTAGAACTATGCAGCTGCAGTAAACTTCTATGGATGATCCATCTCAAAAAAGACTTACTTTGGATTAAATGGGTTCACAACAACTATCTGAGGCAAATCAATATCTGGCAAGTTCAAGCTAAAGAGAATGACTTTTGGATGTGGAAACTACTCCTAAGAGTAAGGGATATGGTAAGAGAAAAATTTGGTAGCGTTGACAGCCTACTAAATGTTATCAATGGCTGTTGCAACAATGGGAAAATCAGCATATCTTCTATATACAAGATGCTTATTCAGCAAGCATTACCAGCTGTTTGGTCTGAAACTATCTGGGGGAGATGACATTATCCCAAACACTCTTTTATTCTGTGGTTAGCCTCTCTTTACAGACTTTTAACGCATGATTGATTATGCCGATTGAGTATATTAGACACAAATCAGTGTGTCTTATGCTCAAATCTTCAAATGGAAACATGTCAACATCTTTACTTTGAATGTCAGTACTCTACTCTTGTTTGGAACAAAGTCATGGATTGGGGCTATGCTTGGAGGTCATGCAACTGGAACCAAATCATAAATTGGTATAGCTTGAATCTGAAGGGGATTGGATTTAAGAAGAAACTGAAAAGGATGGCACTGTCAGTAACAGTTTACTTGATATGGTAGGAAAGGAATTTCAGTATTTTTCAGTATCTATGCTAAAATTTTGGATGAAAATATTCCACTTCATGTGAGGGATTATCTTGAGGGATTGTAATATGTGAAGTCTGGATTATCTATAACCAGACTTTGTTTCTGAAAATTTTGATGTACTACAAAACTTTCACATTTTGGTAAATGGATAAAAATTATTTCATTGACCAAAAAATACACTAAGCATCTTTTATAGCATCAAAATAAACCTAGTCATTCTTCTTATGGGCTTAACAGTTTATAAGCTTTTGTTTCAAATGGCGTGAAGAATTTAGTATAGTATAGTAGTATGCATAATTTCACTTGCCACAAGGCCCACAACTAAGGTGATACTGGTGGCACATTCTTATAAGAACAAGGGTAGCGAAGCGCACAGATCTAGTTACCACAGAGCATAAGTGCATCCAGTATATAAGGATTGTTCTATAGTAGCATTCAAAAAGATTGTCTATTTCTTTTCTACTTTAGTCTTTTCATTCAAAAGTTCACTTTGGGACTGTTTTTTTGATTGATTCATGTAGATAGTAAATTGGAGATCACATTTGAAATTTCCAGAAGAAGCTAGGTTAACTCCAGAAGCTAAAGATCTTATCAGTAAACTTTTATGCAATGTTGACCAGAGACTTGGCACAAATGGTGCTGATGAAATAAAGGTTTGTTTTCTCAGATCAATGTCTTAATTTAAGATTCTTTGCATGTCAAAATCTCTTAAGTAGTTGTATCATGTCAATTTTAGGATCATTCTTGGTTTGAAGGTGTCCAATGGGACAACTTATATCAAATGGAGGCTGCATTTATACCAGAAGTGAAGGATGAATTGGACACCCAAAATTTTGAAAAGTTTGAAGAGGTAAACGTGGAACTGTTTACTTGCTAGTTGTATCGAAAATTCGCCATGTACTATTTATGACTCTTTATCTGCATGATGTAGTCTGACAGCCATGCCCAAACTTCGTCAAGATCAGGCCCTTGGAGAAAGGTAGAATATATAACATTCAGATGCTGAATTTTTAGTGGCATAGAAAATTCAATTTAATTTCCCCCTATTTTTCTATTAGTAAATTCAGTTTCTATGTACATTTGAAGCCTAGTTTGACCTTTAAACTTAAAATTTTCCTATTTTTTAGTTATTATCTTGAGTAACTCCTAAAGTGTGGCTTGTCTTTTGCTCCTCCAGATGCTTTCCTCAAAGGATATAAATTTTGTTGGTTATACATATAAGAACTTTGAAATTGTCAATGATCATGAAGTGCCTGGGATAGGTAATGGATTACTTTTTTCCTTAACTTCTTTTTACATGATTTCCCCTTTTGTGCTAATCATTAGTTACCTGGTGTGAACACTGTACTAGTTTGTTTGTTTTGATCTAGTCCAAAAGAACACTTGCATTTGACATTTGCATTCCTATCCACTATTTAAGTATTTATCTATTCTTTTTGTACCATTTCCTTGTCATGCATTACAACTAGCTCGTTTCCCCTTTCCTTGTCATGCATTACAGCTAGCTCGTTTCCCCTTTCCTGACTGTATGCACATATACAGATTACAATAATAATCACTTGTTTTGATGCATAGAATATGTAATGTGCGTGTATGAACAGCTATGGTTCTAGATAACAACCCACATACATATGTGCATGCGCACACATACAGACAATTGAAGACCTGTACAGTTGTGCACCGACCCTCCATTGTATGCATTTGCACAACTATGGATGCATGCTTCTTTTCCTTCTTTAGTATAGGTAATATGAAGCTTATGTATGCAAAGAGCACTGATTGATTAGAGGCTTTATTCATGTGGTTGGCCCAAAAAAATTTTGGGAGAACGGTTTTGTTTTTGTTCATATTGTTTTTCTTAATCTAGAGGAGTTATAGTTCCCTAGCTGTAATCAGGGAAAGAAAATGTCCGCGTGCATTATTTAGCTAATTGTATCTGGCAAGTTCTTGAGTCGTTAAGCTTCGCGAAAATTCTTGATTCACCTTGTTGCATTGGAATCTGGATCCTCTCTAATTAGGTGGCAACAGGATAGGATCCAATTACCTCAATCTTCACTGTTTATTCTTATTTCGATGGATAAGATGAGGACACGTAGAATTTCTACTATCACAAAATTGGTTTGCAAAATATCTGTTTTAAGGACAGCGCTGGTTTCAAGGTAATAGTGAAAATCCTGGCCACATCTTATCTCTTGAAATTGGAATAGATGGTAAATGTTAGGATAACTGCACCCTTTCTACCACCTAATTGGAGAGGGTCTCTATCCGTTGCATTGGTATTAATAATCCCTTTATTTGCTCATTTAATAACTCCCTACTGCAGCCAAATCAAAGTTTTATGGTGAAATTTTACAAAGTAATTAAAAACTTCTGTTATGTGCTGATTGCTGAACAGTTTATTATCTTTTTCTTACAGCTGAACTAAAGAAGAAGACAACAAAGGCTAAGAGGCCATCGATCAAGTCCCTTTTTGGTGTGTTGCTCTTCTGAATATGCTTACATTACAAGTTTGTAATGAAACTCAATTTTGCTTATAAAGTAATTAAACGTGTCTCTTCATTATAACAGTCTGCAATATGTTAAAAATACTCACCTTAAACCTAGTTTATTTAATTAACATTCTATGGAAAAAGAGCCATGCTGTGGTGAATAATTCAGTCTTATAAATTCTATTATCACAAAAGTAGAGAACTTTTACCATGTTAGCTACGATACGATTATTTGGATCCAGAAGAGGAGGCATTTGATATCTAGAGAACTAGTGGTTGATTGTTGTTCCGTTGACCAGGCATTAACTCAGTAGCTCAATTAATTATGTTAGCACATATGTACGTATAGCTGTTGCAGTAGTCAATTTGGATAACTAAAGTGAAATGACATACTAAAATTGTGAATACAGAAAAATGTAGTAAAGTTACCACAATTTTATCATAAGTTAGCTCCTATATTTCATGGGTCTCACAATACATGAAAATTCCTCATGCAGGGCATATAATCTGATTTATATTCCTGAAACACAAAAAGTTTCTCTTGCAAAGTATTGTGAACAGATGTTAATTATCTGAGAATCTTGCTATATCTTTCATCTCTTTATATTTTATTTCAGAATCTCCAGAAGAGGACCAACAAGCACATGAAGAATCTGGTCAAGGGAGCTTCGTGATTCGTTCTCAACTAGATATATTCCAGAATGACAGGTCATCTGCTATATAAACGAAAAACCTTTGATCTGTATGGACTCCGGAGGCTTATAAACTTCATGAAATTCCAAAATCCAGCTTAATAAACCCCTACCTGGTACAGTTGGAATTTTAGGGGCCTGAGCTTCGTGGAAATTCAATCATTTGTGCAGAGAAATTAGAAGAAACAGAGGAAGCGAACAAATTCATTGGTATAGGATCAGGATATTTTAAACTTGTTTTCTGCAAAGTAAATATCGATTCTTTTACAAGTGATCGATATCATTACCATTTTTACCATTTTCTTTTTCTTAACCAGGAAAGTGTATATACCTTCCATACTGTTCTACTACTGAATGATGGAGAAATGTGATTGCTGTGCATGTATTCAAACTGACCAATTAATTGGTTGAAATATCAATATGAAAAAATGGCTGCTGATGCCATGTAAATTCAGCAAATATACTTGAATGTTGTTTTCCTTGCCTCACTTGAAAGAACTTCAAATTTATGCTTTTATGGTGATATATTATTTGGTGACAACAAAGGTATTTGGATGTTTTTTCCTTGCTTCAGGTGCCCTTTTGAAAGAACTTCAATGTAAACACACCGTCATGATTTGACCATCCGTCGAGCCATGTAAAAAGTTCTATTCATTCGAAACCGTTAAAATTGATACGAGTGGATGAAGGGTCAAACTACGATGGGTTCACCCCAAATTTGGTGCGTTGGGGTTTTAGAATACGTAGATCAAGTTCAACGGAGCGGATCATTCATAATGTAGCTCAATCAAGTGATCATCAATGACTAAGAAACTTAGTGGACGTCCACTTAAGTTGACATAAGTTTCTCTCTCTCTCTATATATATATATATAGAGAGAGAGAGATATATATGTATGCTTGGTAGTGAGGTGACACAATCCCCTCTACTCATTCAAATGGGTGACCGCATTCACATGGGTTGAGGAGTGTATGTGAATATGCAACCATTTGAATGAGTGGAGGGGATTATGTCACCTCACTACCAAGCACAACTTTTTGTGCTTGGTATCAAACATACCAATTTTTCTCATATATATATATATATATATATATATATATATATATATATATATATATATATATATATATATATATATATATATATATATATATATATATATATATATATATATATATATATATATATATATATATATATATATATATATATATATATATATATATATATATATATATATATATATATATATATATATATATATATATATATATATATATATATATATATATATATATATATATATATATATATATATATATATAGAGAGAGAGAGAGATATATATATATATATATATATATATATATATATATATATATATGGGTAATGTTTTTCTAAGGTGACACCTTAGATTCACACCTAAGGACGCGGCCTAAAATCACATCATTCCCTAATTTTTTTTGCGATCCGCTCCGTTGAACTTGATCTACACGTTCTTAAACCCAAACACACCAATTTTAGGGTGAACCCGTCATGTTTTGACCCTTCGTTGAGCCGTGCAAAAAGTTCTATTCATTCGAAACCGTTAAAATTGCAAAAAGTTAATTGTTATTTTTGTATTTATTGCTAATGTGTGGCAATCGAATTAAAATTTGACACGTGGTAGCAGCATAGGAATTTTCCTACGTTGCCAACTCACCTCCCGTTTTCTCATATATATGTACACACACACTCTATTTAAATCATACTACGTACTCCCTTTTAAAAGCACAAGAAAAAAACTTTTGGTAGACAAATATACTCCTATAAAGTTTGAACTATCCTATCACTAATCAAATTTTAATTTATAAATTGTATTTAATGATTTATTCTAATTCTAATTAAATAACTTCAAAGTTTGAACTATCCTAATCCTATTCAAATTCTATTCAAAGTTTGTTATGGTGGTTAGAATTCTAGAATAGTTTACAACTAATTGAGGGACGGTCGGCCGGAGGGGGATAAGGAGAGTTCATATAACTTTAGGATTTGCATTATTTTATGTTGTATTATGATATTGGTAGAAGTTATGTTTGTTTGGTGTGCTAACTAAATTTAAACCGAAGGCATACCTGTTTCGTTTCGTGTGCTAACTAAATTTAAACCGGAGGCATACATACCTGTTTCGTGCTAATAAGAAAAACATCACCTCCGAACCCTACATTTATAAAAGAAAAATTCTTTAAGGACCCAAAATATGGGACCAATAAAGGGGACAAGTGAGGTGTTCCCCTCCTATTGGATAATGAGTTGGCCATTATTAATGATGGCCAACTCATTATCCAATAGGAAGGGGACACCTCACTTGTCCCCTTTATTGGTCCCATATTTTGGGTCCCTGTAGCAAAGCTCTTTATAAAACGCTGTCATCTGAACTCAAAACCAAAATCTGAATCCGAGTAGTCTGGGGAGGGAAATGGTTCCAGCGAGTTGACTCCAACAACACCGGTAACATCACCGCTACCCAGCTCCAGGTAGGGGTGCCAAACGGTTTGGATATATCCGAACCGATCCGCATCCGTATCCGAACGGATACGGATATGTTAGGCTAATTTTAAAACCAGGCGGATACGGTAACGGATACGGATCTGGTTTCGGATTTTTTTTCGGATACGGATTCGATAACAGATATGAGTGTTGCGGATACGGATATCCGCAATGTAATAGTGATTCAGGTAACTGGGTCCCAAATTTATAGTTACAAACCCGCTAACTCAAAACCAAAAGTAAAAAAAAAAAAAACCCTAGGCCCTCACCCTCAGGTCGCCTTCAGTGCTCCACTCCATCTCCAATTCTCGACGATTCTCCACTCCAGTCTCTTAACTCCTTTCGCAAAGAAAATAAAAAAGCTAGTAAAACCACTACAGAGAGAGAGAGAGAGAGAGAGAGAGAGGACCATCATCCTCAGAGAGAAGAGAAAGGGGAGGGGGAGAGAGAGAGAGCAAAATCAATCAAACCCTAGAATTAAATGTGCATTTCGAAAACCTCAATCATATTCCTCCTCCTTTTCTCTCTCCTCCTCAACCCAGTCTCATCCGCCGACCTCTTCGCTCTCATCTACATGGGTTGCGCCAGCAATGGCGGCGGCAGCAGGGGGCCCGCATCCCAACAAGCCCTATCAGCCCTCTCCTCAGCTCTCATTGCTCAGTCAGCGAGCTCCAAGTTCTTCAAGACATCGTCTTCTTCAACTGGGCAGCAGATTTCTGGGTTGTTTCAGTGCAGGGAAGATCTCAGCAGCAGCGATTGCGCTGCCTGCGTTCAACATCTCTTGCCCATGTGGTCGTCTTTGTGCGGTAGTTCCGTTGCTGCTAGGATTCAGCTCACCGGCTGCTATGCTCTGTATCAGGTGATGAATTTTTGAGAAATTGGTGAATTGTCTGTTTTGTTGGGGGATGTTTGAAATGGGTTGCTCCTTTTTACCTAATGGCCTGTTTGGATGGAGGGTAGAGAGGGGGAAGGGAAGGGAAATTTTATTTTAATCTTGTTTGGGAGTTTTATTTTGGAGGGTAGAGGAGGGGAATGGAGGGGAAATTTGGCCCAAATTCTTACACCCCAAATTGGGGTGTAATGGAGGGAAAGGGAAGGAAGGGGAAAAATTCCCCTTCCTTCCCCTTCCTTCCCTTCCCTAAGTAAACTCCCAAACACACCATAAATGTTTCAGTGGGTCATTGGTGGATTAAGCTTTTGTTCATGCTATGTTGTTTTTGACTGTTACATGGTAGTGACCTTAATGGGTGCTTTTATATGAAATATATTTAATTTTTTACCCTTTGGATGATGTTTTGTGCAATGCTTTGTAGTCTGTATCAGGTGACAGAATTTTCAAAAAAAAAAGGTGAAATATTGGGTTGCTTTTATCCCAACATTTTTGGTGGGTCACTGGCAGATTAGGCGTTTGTTGATGCTACGTTGTTTGTTTTTATTGATATATTGAAAGTGACCTTAATGTGTTGTTTTATTTGTTTGATGGTGTAAAATTTTAAGATGTTTTCCCTTAATTTTTGCCTTTTTTGATTATTGATTTTGGTGCTATACTTAGTATTAGGTGTGAAGTTTTTTTTGGAAAATTCCCTTTTTTTTCTTAGGGAGCGCAGTTTTATTATTATTATTATTATTATTATTATTATTATTATTATTATTTATTTTGCACAATTGATAGTGGACTGTCGGTTAATTTTCTAATGAGTTCGTAGAGATTATAAGATTCTGTTCTTGCTACTTTGATTTTGTTTATCATGTCTGCAAACGACCTGAATATTCATATGTTTTTCTTTAAATTTCTAAATTTTCATAAATAATGTACTAGTTTCCCCCTTGTTCTCCGTAACACCATTGCTAGTGTTCCAAATTTGCAAGTGGCGGAATAAGGGCAACACCAAATTTTCTTGACTTCTTACATTTCCAAGGCTTTTTACCCAATTATTCTTGTGCTTCTCCAGGTCTCAGGATTCCCTCAGGCCTCAGGCACTCAAATGCTATTCAAAACTTGTGGTTCTGGCAGTGCCGGCAGTGGATTCGAACAGAAGAGAGAGATCATTTTGTTGACACTGATATATTGAAATGTATCAGGTGGTTGACCTAGCTACATTAACAGGTGCTTGTATAGTTGCACTTGGGCCCAGTATTGCAGGTACAGTGATTACTGACTTTAATTATATATATTCCATGAGTTTAACTATGCTATTGTGGTAATTTTGAATGAAATCTAGCCAGAGGGTTACTTAATAAACTTAATGAAATCTAGCCAGAGGGTTAATTAATTCTATTTGTTGAATATCCGTTTATATCCGTGATCATATCCGATTCGATTCTCAAATATCCGAACCGTATCCGTTTCCGATAAGTGCGGATATGGTTAAGGTTTTTTCTTACCGAAGATGATCTGTATCCGTTTATAAAAAGCGGATATGGATATGGTAAATGTCATATCCGAACCGTATCCGCTCCGATAACACCCCTAGCTCCAGGTCCTTCTTTATCTCTTTGCTTCAACTTTTAGCCCTAATCCTAAAACCCTAAAATCTTGTTTTTCCCCTTGATTTGATTTGAATTTTGGCGATCAGAGAGCTCTGGCGGTGGGAAACCTTCGAATCCCCCTCTCTATCGTTCAGCAAATGAGCAGGTTCGGTCTCTTGATCGATCGTTCTTTTTAGGGTTTATAGCGTTGATATGTTTTTTAAAATGGCTCTTTGTTTTTGCAGGATGTATGATTTTGATATGAATGGGACTATGTTGAAGGTGGATTGAGATTTATTCTCTTCGGAAAATTTTGGTGTTTTAGTTTTTTTTTTAATTATTCTTTGCTTGCATTTAGTTAGCTTCTTCTTTATGCAATTTTGATTAGTTAAAGTTTATTACTGCTACATTAACTTATATGTGTTCTATTGTTGAACACGACCCTTAAAACGTATGAATGCCTGTTGTTGTGAAGCTACTAGAAAATTGTCCCTGTTTATGTAATTTTATTGGTCTTTTCTTGCAGAATTTGTCGCTCTTAACAAGTTTCTTTCTAAGGTGAGTATTTCTACTAAGTTTTTAGTAAGTTTGGGATGATACATTTCAAACTGTGTTACACTTGTCATTCATTATGTGCATGTTATTCTATCGTGTCTCATTTATTTAACACTATGCTTACATGAGGGATCGTACATTTTTAATACAATGTCAAATATACTTAGAACCTGTGAATATATGTTTACGTACAATATTGATATACTTTGGACACTTTAGTTTTATTGAAGGAACTCAGACAGATCCTTCATCTTTAGTATCTTGAGTTGGTATTTTAGCATTAATATGATAGAAGGAACCATGTGAATATCTTGAATGTTCTAAAGACAGAATAAACATACTAAAAGTTCAAATGGTATATCAACGTGGTGCAAGGTCAAGAGCATGGATATTGTCTTGGGGCTAGGTTGTACTAAACATTTCATTCTCTATTTATTTTCTTGCTTGTATGCATCACAGTTAGATGTGTTTGTTTAAGTTCTTATTGATAGTTTTCTTTGTCTTCACAATGATGAGCACCATATATTCTCAAGGAATTTAGGAAATGCCATAATTGGATTTATGACAGTTAATTTCTCCTTAGATATGTGTTTGACTTATGTTTTTAGTAAGTTTGGGAATTATTTGATTATATATTTCATTTGATTAAACGGAAATAGAAAACATAATACTTTTCTTCTTGATGCACGTTTTTATTTGTAAATATGATATTCTCATCTAGAACCAAATTCATAACAAGTGTGAAGTTTGACCTCGTGGGCTTTGATATGATTTCACTATAGAATTTACTATTAGAGTGTCAATTTTCTCAACTGTAATTAATATATACATATACAAAATAACTAATTTAGTTGGGTCATAATGACAAACATGTATACACAAGAATCAAAAGTCTTTTAACTTCACAATTACCCATCAATGAGACTATACTATAAGCAAGGTGGCAAAATATCACTTCCCTCTTTCTTCTTCTTGTTCGTCTTCTCGAACTGCTTTGATTATGCAGAACTCGTGCCTTCATGAGGAAGACTCCATAGTGATATTGATCTATGTTCACTAGTTGCTAAAGAAGACATTACATCTTAGCCTAAGAAGGACAAAGAAGAATATAGAACATGAACTAAAATGTACTCAAATAAGCATGGAAAGGTAAAAGAGTAATCTTTGTCTTAAATTAACTCAAAGCAGCATAACCCTCAATGTTCGAGGTGTCTCGTCCGATTTACATGCTAGGTATAAACATGCAGCGACAAATTTAGTTGGATCCCTACTTTGGCAGCCTCCGATTACTTTCATATTTCTATAGTTATCCTTGGCAGAGTCCTTTAAAAAATTGTTTAATTTAGAACCACAACTGAACAGACATTGAAACTTACGATGATCTTAGAGAAGTTAACAGAACAAGGAATTCATGAATGGAATTTGCATGGAGGGAGTTAGGAAATTTGTACCTTCATGCGTGATACAGCAGGCAACCGGTTACAAGCAAACAAAGTGATCAGAAACTAATCTTTTCGATAAAACACCGTTCTTTTTGGATTAATTATATTCTTTTGGTTAATTATTATGAAAGCACTCGAGGTTTGACCTACCATTTCATACCTCTTCTTCACAAAGCTCCTCATTTATTTTAAATTCCTCTTTCAACGTGTGTTACACGCAATTTTTAAACAAAATTAACAATGAAGATAATGGTAGGAGGGGTTATAATAAGAAAATAACAATTGGGGCATCCTAATAATTAATTAGACTCTGATGGTTTCGTAATAATTAGTTTTTTATTTTAGTTTTTTCAAGAACCTCATTTACCAAAATAAGATTTCTACAAAAGCCCTTTTCTTTTAGCCAAGAACTCTAAAAAAACTTCTGAGATGCTATCACGGATGCATAGAACATGAAAGATGAAAAATTACGACGTTATTAAGAACAGTGCTATCAACTAGTCTAATAATCTGATGCATCAAGAACTCAAATTCAACATGAATACAAAACTCAGCGAAAATGAAGAAAATAACAATTAAACATCCTAGTAATTGATCAAACTCTGATGGTTACATAACGATTAGTTATTTTATTTTATTTTTCAAGAACCCAATTTACCAAACAAGATTTCTATAAAAACCTTTTTCTTTTTGCCAAGAACTCGCTGAAAAATCTTCGGAGATGCTATCAAGAGCATATTGAAAAATGAAAGAAGAGGACTTGTGATATTATCAAGAACAATGCTATCAGTCTAATAATCTGATACGTCAATAACTCAAATTCAGCATGAATATAAAACTCAACGATGATGAAGAAAATAACAGTTGGGCATCCTAATAATTGACCGAACTTTGATGGTTTCATAATAATTAGGTTTTTATTTTATTTTTTTCGAGAACACAATTTACCAAAACAAGATTTCTACAAAAACCCTTTTCTTTTTGCCAAGAACTCGCCGAACAATCTTCACAGAAGCTATCAAGAATGCACTGAAAATGAAAGATGAGGACTTTTGATGTTATCAAGAACAATGCTATCAACTAGTCTAATATCTGATGCATCAAGAAATCAAATTCAGCATGAATACAAAGGAAAGAAACATAAAACTCAATGAAGATGAAGCAAAATGAAACACACCTGTCTCCAATGCTATCAATTAGCCTAGAAATCTCATCATCAAGGTCGATCTGAATCATTGCAGCAACCTCAGGAACAACAGAGACATTGTTCGGATCATCATCACCAAGCATCCTCTCAGCATTGAAGACAATTCTTTCCTCAAGAACTAAACCGCACTCTGAACAGATTTTATCCGCATTGAAGACATCTGTTCAAAGTGCGGTTTAGTTCTTGAGGAAAGAATTGTAGAGGATGCTTGGTGATGATGATCTGAACAATGTCCCTGTAGCTCCTGAGGTTGCTACAATGATTCAGGTCGACCTTGACGATGAGATTTATAGGCTAATTAATAGCATTGGAGACAGGTGTGTTTCATTTTGCTTCATCTTCATTGAGTTTTGTGTTTCTTTCCTTTGTATTCATGCTGAATTTGAGTTCTTGATGCATCAGATATTAGACTAGTTGATAGCATTGTTCTTGATAACATCGCATATTCGAAATTTTACAAATTAGCCCTCTTTTTTCTGAAAATTTGCAAATTGGTCCTTTTCCCCCACATTGTTCTCATTGGTGAGGCAATCGCGAAGAGCCTTGATTCTCCTTGGTGAGGATCGACGCTTTAAAAATAGAAATTTTACAAATTAACCCTCTTTTTTCTGAAAATTTGTAAATTGGTCCTTTTACCCCACGTTGTTCTCCTTGGTGAGGCAATCGGGAAGAGCCTTGATTCTCCTTGGTGAGGATCGACGCTTTAAGGATAGGTTTTGCTTGGTCAAAACCATATCTCAAAATAAAGGGGGCGTTTTGACGCTGCATTGTGCCTTATAAGGCAGGGATATATTGTCGATATACCCTATCTTATAAACGCACAATGTGGCCAAATCGTCTCACCCTTTATAAGGCAATGACTCTATCTTACCGATTTGTAAGATGAGTTCAATTTCCTTTTATATCTGAAATTAACAAACACTTAACTGCTTGTTTTCAGTGGAATATCCTTCCGGAGCCTTTTCATCGCATGCGGTGAATGGACGTCGTGACGAATATTATTCGACGTCTGATGATTTTTCGCCGATTCCACTTGCTTCCCAGTTTGTTCCGGGCACGTCGACAGAAGTTGCCCAAGTGGTGAAGGAAGGTGGACATCAAGCCCTTCGTCAGCTGATTACAGATGCGCCCCTCGTGAAGGATGTTAGTTCCGTCCAGTCTCTCAGGAAGACTGATTTCTTGTTTGGCGATTCTTTCAGAGATCCTGATGCAGCATTTATTGACGCTGAGCAGTGGCTTCATAAGACTGGCAATGGCTTCCTCTATTTACCGAAGATTCTTGATGCATCAGATATTAGACTAGTTGATAGCATTGTTCTTGATAACATCACAAGTCCTCATCTTTTTATTTTCAGTGCGTTCTTGATAGCATTTGTGAAGATTGTTCGGTGAGTTCTTGGCAAAAAGAAAAGGGTTTTTGTAGAAATATTATTTTTGATAAATTGTGTTCTTGAAAAAAATAAAAACCTAATTATTATGAAATCATCAAAGTTCGATCAATTATTAGGATGCCCCACTGTTATTTTCTTCATCTTCGTTGAGTTGTATATTTATGTTGAATTTGAGTTATTGACGCATCAGATTATTAGACTAGTTGATACCAATGTTCTTGATAATATCACAAGTCCTCATCTTTCATTTTCAATACGCTCTTGATAGCATCTCTGAAGATTTTTCAGCGAGTTCTTGGCAAAAAGAAAAGGGTTTTTGCAGAAATCTTGTTTGGTAAATTGGGTTCTTGAAAAATAAAATAACTAATCATTATGAAACCATCAGAGTTTGATCAATTACTAGGATGCTTAACTGTTATTTTCTTCATTTTTGCTGAGTTTTGTATTCATGTTTAATTTGAGTTCTTGATGCATCAGATTATTAGACTAGTTGATAGTATTGTTCTTGATAACGTCGTAATTTTTCATCTTTCATGTTCTATGCATCATTGATAGCATCTCAGAAGATTTTTCAGAGAGTTCTTGGCTAAAAGAAAAGGTCTTTTGTAGAAATCTTATTTTGGTAAATGGTGTTCTTGAACAAAATAAAATAAAAAACTAATTATTACGAAACCATCAAAGTCTAATTAATTATTAGGATGCCCCAATTGTTATTTTCTTATTATAACCCCTCCTACCATTGTCTTCATTGTTAATTTTGTTTAAAAATTGCGTGTAACACATGTTGAAAGAGGAATTTGAAATAAATGAGGAGCTTTGTGAAGAAGAAGAGGTATGAAATGGTAGGTCAAACCTCGAGTGGTTTCATAATAATTAACCAAAAGAATATAATTAATCCAAAAAGAATGGTGTTTTATCGAAAAGATTAGTTTCTGATCACTTTGTTTGCTTGTAACCGGTTGCCTGCTGTATCAAGCATGAAGGTACAAATTTCCTAACTCCCTCCGTGCAAATTCCATTCATGAATTCCTTGTTCTGTTAACTTCTCTAAGATCATCGAAGTTTCAATGTCTGTTCAGTTGTGGTTCTAAATTAAACAATTTTTTAAAGGACTCTGCCAAGGATATCTATAGAAATATGAAAGTAAGCGGAGGCTGCCAAAGCAGGGATCCAACTAAATTCGCCGCTGCATGTTTATACCTAGCATGTAAAGCGGACGACGCACCTCGAACATTGAGGGGTATGTTGTTTTGAGTTAATTTAAGACAAAGATTACTCTTTTACCTTTCCATGCTTATTTAAGTACATTCTAGTTCATGTTGTTTTGAGTTAATCTAAAACAAAAGATTAAATTAGTGCTGCTTGTATTGGAGATGGGGGAGCTACAGACAATAACATCGCCCAGGAGAGCCAATTTATCCTAGATCAATTTAAGGATGCTGGTGAACCAATGGTACCAGGTTTCACTAAGGCATCACAGCTCATGGTAAATTTCTTATTTCAATTTTTTTATACTTGTAGTTGTATATTACAACTTATGCTAGACTCTAGTTTCAAATTTTCTATACTTGTAATTGTATATTTGTCAAATAAAATTTAAGAGAACCTTGCAGGGACGATTTTGTTCAAAGCTCGGCATGTGCCATGGAGCTACAAGAGCTGCAAGAGAGGTTGTTCGCAACTTAGAAGAACTCAATCTAAGGTGTATATAGGTCGTAATCACACACTGCATCCTTTTTGTATATCAATTGAAGCTATATCAGTTTGGTAGGGGTTTGAGAAGGGAATGTGAGGTGAAGGGAGGTGCAAGAAGGTGGAGGGATGGATATCCCTTTGGACCACATGTTTGGTTGGAGAGGAGGCACATACTTTTGTTATTCATTTTCTCTCTCCACTTGCATCCTCCCAAATTGAGGATTCTTCTCTAACTTCTTAGTTCATTTTGTAGTGTCCTCTCCCTGACCTGACCTCCCCTCACTCTACTTCCCCCTCTAAAAACCCCTACCAAAGATAAATCTATATATTATCCCTCACTTCGCTTTCATTCCTGCCAAACCAACCCACTTATGAGGTTCATAATTAACAAATGACTATGCTCCCTTCTTTTTTCAGGAGGCTACCTGCATCTATTGCGGGGGCGGCAATTTATATGGTTACTCAATTATCAGATGAAAAGAAGCCTTTAAAAGGTATTACTTTTCTTTTTAATATCAGGAAAGGACTGGTTTTATTAGCGTTCAGGATTTAGGGAATTTGGGTTTTGCAGATATAGCGCTAGTTACGAAATGTTCACAGGGATATGTACCCGTCAGCTGCTAGAATCATACCAAGGTGGTTTAAAACTGATGTCTCAGCCCTCCGCAAACCCCGTAATCTCGCCAACTGAAGCCTTACGCAAGGCTGTTCTACATGGTGCATTGTAAAGAGAGATGAACGCAATTCCGGAGTCCGATGCGCTTATATGGAAGTGGATGTGGAGGTGATCTGAGATTTGTGTTTTGCCGAAAGAATGAGATTGAAGATTTTCTTCTGTTAGATCTCTTACTGGCTTGGATCTATTGAAAACTGATGTATTTGGAGTAGGGGGTGTAGCTTTCATGTTGTAAACAACCAGTTTTTGGGCACTGTAGGAGTCTGACTAATTTCTATACTTGTTTCAGTTTTATACCGTATCATAGATGTAAAGGGAGAGACGTGTAGATACATAATTTGGGGGACTGGGTAATTTGTATAGCTTCAGGAGGATTCTTGTGATGTGTGTTTCTTGTATGTTTCCATGTGTAGTCTCTGTTTGAAGAAAACAAAAGTATTGCCTTTTCAAATTGGAGAGGGATTACACACCTTCATATTCTCTGTTTGCAAAGCTCCAGTGTTGTGTCATATGACTCTTATTATTGACCGATCATTCAGTTCAATTTCAGTTCAGTTTCATTTTACAGCTCTCCTATTTGAATTGAGGGAGAGAAGGTGGTATCATATATGGATAATACGCACATAAAGAGAATATTATTCAATCTCTAAAATGAGATGTGTCTCAACTCCTCCAGTTTACGTTGGTTACACCAAAATGAACCCCTCTTGCCAAGTTAAAAATGTGTTCAACTTACAGCAAAGAAGAAAAAAAAATGCAATTACAACGAGGATAATTCAATCATATATGAAATTTTCGCAACTTATTGAGCAAGCATTATAAGACTGATGATTTCTGTAAAGAGACGTGCTTTCAAAATCCTACCAATAATCACCACAAGAACACTTGCCATCTCTAAAATGATGGAATCTATTTGTATCTCTAACAACAATCTCCCTCCCAACAATCTTCGAAATAAACTTAGTTGCGGTGTGACAATCCACACAAACCCTTAAATTCTTCGTCACTCTAATGGTAGTCCCTGGAGGAGTACTTATAATCCCAAATGTTATGGCAAGCCTCTCACTATGCCCACACAAAAGCTCTCTCTTATGCTCTTCGTCGATATCATGAAGCACATCCTCAGTATTTGCTACATACCCTTCTCTCTTCATTTGTTCTTCTAGAACTTCCCAAGCCTGGCATATTTGATCGAAACAAGGGTGAGATTTATCATGAGCAACAAAAGCGTGAACTTTGTTCTTCACTTCGATCCAGCTTGAAGCGGGTTGCTTCTCTAAGCCTTTTCTCTTCATTGCCACTCTCGTCTTTGCTGCTTCTTTCCAATTACCAGCAGCTGAGTAAATATTCGACATTAGGACATGAGATCCCATATGTTTAGGGTCGAGCTCGAATATTTTCTCCGCCACTTCCTCAGCTAATTCAAGGTTTTTATGGATTCTACATGCACCCAACAACGTGCACCACACACTTGCGGTTGGTTTAATATGCATTTTGGATATAAACTCGTACGCTTCAGATAATTTCCCTGCACGGCCAAGAACATCTGCAACTACTGCATAATGCTCTAAATGCGGGGTAATTCCGTAATCTTTCCTCATTCTATCGAAATATGCACGTGCTTCATCAACAAGTCCAGCGTGGCTACAAGCAGTCAAAACTGCTATAAATGCCACATAATTTGGTTTTCCATTTTCCAGGGCCATCCTCTCGAACAAAGAGAGAGCTTCGTCAGCCGGTCCATGCAATGCATATCCCATAATCATGGCTGTCCATGTAACAGTATCAGGTACATGCATGTCGTCAAAGATGGATCGAGCAACACATATATTTCCACATTTGGCATACATATCGACCAGAGAACTGGCCACAAACACGTTATCTTCAAACCCTCCTCGGATTATGTATCCATGAAGCTGCTTTCCTAGACGCAACGTCGTTAAGTGTGCACAAGCTGGCATTATACTTGAAAAAGTCACGGGCATAGGTTTAAGTTCGTTTAAAAGCATCCTACGAAAAACACTAAGCCCCTCATCGAACATCCCATTCTGAACACACCCTGCAATCAAAGAATTCCACGCAATCGCATCAGGGTTCGGTAACAAATCAAATACTCTAAGAGAGTAATCTGCTCGTGTACAATTTGCGTACATATCAACCAAACTACTCCCCATAAAAACATCAGAATCAAACCCATTTCTCATGGCATACCCATGAATCTCCATCCCTTTACAAACATCCACAGACTCCGCAAAAATCGGTAAAACAGTCGATAAAGTGAACGCATTCAGCTTCAACCCAACAAAGCCCATCTCTCTAACCATCGACAAAGCCTCCTCATACAATCCGCTCTCGGCGACACCCGCAATCATAGTATTCCAAGAAACAACATCCCTAACAGGCATTTCATCAAACACCTTCCTCATCCTGACAATACTGTCGTCGAATTCATCGGACAGTTTGTGGGCATCCCCGGAACCGCCCAGTTTAGAGTACATGTTCATAAGGGCATTGCCGGTGTAGAGATCGGAATCCAGACCCAGCACAACCACAGACCCATGAAGGGATTCGCCGAGCTTGCGCGCCCGGAGAGCAGCGCAGGACTTGAGGACTGAAGGGAAGAAGTTGTGGTTGGGTACGAAACCCGAGGCGCGGAATCTGATGAAGAGGGAGACGGACTGGGCGTGGAGGCCGTGGGAGGTCGAGGAGCGGATGAGGGTTTTGTAGGACTGAGGGGGAGGAGAGGGGAGAGAGGAGAAGGAGAGAAGGGCTTCGTCGATGAGGCCGAGGGAAGAGTAGATGGAGGTGATGACGGAGGGGGATGAGGATTTGAGGAGGTGGGCATGGAGCTGATGAGCTCGGGATGGGGTTTCGACTGAACATGATGATGGTGGTGATGGGTTTTGGAGAAGAGATTTTAGGAGGGAAGAGGTTGGAGTTCGCATTAGAGGGTTATGCACGTTTTTTTTTCTCTATCTGCATCTTATTTGTCAAAACCGACGGTTTTGACGAAAAATTTCACTGGGCTTCAAGTTTGGTAATTTTTTTCGTCAAAACCGAACTCATGGCTGAAACTGAATCGGTTATGACAAATAAGTTGAGAATAAGTTGTTTTTTATAAATATGTTTCAAAATGGGTTTGTTTTCAAATTTTGTCCTATGTTTTATTATAGCCCAAATAACTTTTGCCGATTTAATTAATTTAATTGAAATACAATTTTTTTTGCTATAAAGTCTTTAAATATAGAGAAAATTATATCAAGGCCCCAATATGAAGAACCTCGTGTGAGTAGCCCCTTCAACCTCTCCCCGCCGTGGATTAGACAAAAAAAAACTCAATTAATGAATTTGGGCCCCTCCACATCAGCTGTATAGAGGAAAACTATGGTATTTCCTCATAAATCCTAAAAAATGCTCTTCTCCTTCTCAATGACGCGGTGATCTGATGGTGGAATCGAAGGAAAAATTTCCTCTATTTTTCTCAATCATGAGCAATAACTATTATGTAATATTTTAGGATTTTTTCTCTTCAACTATCAATACTCCTCTTGTCCTAAAATTCTCTTCATTCATCCTTCTACCTTCCCTTCATTAATGGCTGAGAAGGCTATTATATGCATTGTCTCCTCAGATGAGAAAGCAGCTTTCTCAATAATTAACTCTTCAACCACCATTATAAGATTGAAGTTTGATGTGCCAGAGAGGATAAAACTTCCATACGATTCTTTACCGTTGGCATACAAAAATAAAACAAATTGCAACTTTAATTTTTCTATTGAGAACGAAGATGATTTGTCGTGCATGGTGGAGTATAGCCGCAAATATTGGGTGTAAAGAGATTTATATGAAAGCTTTTTCTAAAGACCAGAGGATTCGACTTCCCATAGCACCCAAAAAGTTCCATCAGACCTGTAAACTATCGTTTTTTTCAAAAAGAAATTTGTGATTTCTGTTTGAACAACGTAACATGATGAAAATTTAAACAAATACTTGTTAAGTGCGACTAGTAACATGTTACATATATGCGTTCATATGTTATGTTTATGTGGTTGGATGTTAAGTTCAATAGGTATGACGTTAAGTCTAATATGTTGGATGTTAACTCTAAAAGGTTTTATGTTAAGTCTATTATGATTGAATGTTAAGTATAAGAGGTTGAATATTAAGTGAATGTTAAGTATAAGGGATTGTATGTGTTGTGCGCAGCGGAAATTTCGGCAGCACCTCCGGTGCGCAAGGTGCACAACAAGAGATTAGATCACAATGAAATTCTTGCTTCTCAAAGGAAACAAGAACCAAAAGCCAGATATCTCATCAAAGTGAGATATCAGCTCTTCCTCTCGTCAGCTCTAGGACTGCGCGTCGAGGGTCCTCTCGTCAGCTCTAGGACTGCGCGTCGAGGGATCCTACAAGCTATTACAAATCACGGTAAGAACACAACTTTTACGTGGTTCGGCAAATAGCCTACGTCCACGGGGCAAGGAGGGGGGAGATCTACTATTAGAGGGAGAGATACAAATAGGATTTACAATCACTCAATCTAAACCCTCACACAAACTCTCAGATCCCTCACACAATTATCTCTCTCAAAAGGGGATGCACAAATAAAGAACTGCTGCAGTCAAAACCTTCTGCACACCAATCAGCCGCTGCCTTCGCACATGAATCAGCCGCCCAAAATCTCCGTGTACATGCGATTTTCTTCTCCAAAGCCGCACACCTCTGTCCTTTTCGTTTGATGCCGCCAGGGACCCCCTCAATTGCTTCAAATTCGAAACCCTAGGCAAATAGGGTATTAATAGGCAGCTGGTGTTTGTTTTCGGGTGGGCCTGCTAATGTTCTCAACTCCTCACGCGTTTTCCGCTTTTGCATTCACCTCACGTGGGTTGTGGCCCCCACGTCTTCACCTGACCAATCAACAATTCTCCACCTCGGCGAAGTTTTCCCAAAACTGAGCCGACACTGACCACATTAAACGCCTCACTTGTTGCATCCAGTACGCCATGGCAACGGGCTCATGACAACGGACTCCATCCACACAAGTCGAGACCCAAACGGGAGTGCGAACACTCAATCCAAACCAAATAGTGTCTACTCACCAATCAAACTGAGCCTACACCGACTACACCAAATGCCTCACTTGCTGAGACCCAAATGTGAGTGCAAACACTCACCCCAAATGTCGATGTCGCTCACCAAATCGATCTCACCCCCATCAACTAATCCAAAACCCGGCTGCATCATAAAGACTGCCTACGTATCCTCTTGCCCAAGGAATCAAGCCGAACGTAGTTCATCCAAATGACCGCTAACGACCTCAATCAAGAAGAGTTCGCAATCCTTCTCTAATATCACGATCAAGTCTACGGCTGATAGCACCTCCAATGACCCCAAACTGAAACAATCCAAACACCTCCACCTGAGATGAACCAATGGCCATATCCAGACTACATCTATCAGCTGCAATCGAATCCAACTCATTATCTGTATCCAAATCCAAATGATCCCCAATCTGTGTCACCTCAGCTGGAATCCCAAATGATGCAGTATGATCTGGAGTCTCCACCCAACATGGAGTAGCATCACTCTCCACCCGCTGCGATGTCCAAAAGATCTGATCACCACTCTCCACCTGCCGAGAGTTAAACGTGACATACCTGCTCAGAACAAAATCAGAAGCAATACCTGATAATCAAACACGCCTCTGAATCCCAAATGTGCTATCGGATCAAATCTCACATCCACGATGTGACCAAGTGCTGGGTAGCCAAACATCCGACGTAACCCAAAATCTGAAGCAGCTCCACCAGATCCAAAATCTCTACATGCAGCAGTCGGCAACCTATACATGAGATGATCCAAACATGTCGTAGCCCGCACACCAATGCCAATGCTCGACATCAAACGCCGATCCTCCTCCAGAAAGGAACAGCTCCCCAAATCTGTCATCTCATAACGTCGCCTCAAAGTTTCCACACCAATGAAGTGTCTCCAATTGCCGTGAGCTCGACACAAATGCATAAATAGGTCCCTCTTGTACCTCCCTCTAACATCAGACTGAAGTACCTTCACCTTTCTGCCAATACACTTCCTCCATTTGTTGCGGGCTTCTAGGACTTCACACCAACGGGACTTGGTTGCAACCCACCAATGCCTAGAGCAATCCCCAACTGCGAAAACCACACACCTATTACCTCCCAATGATGCTCCCTTGGAAGGCCCCCGAATGCCTGAATGAACACCCCTTAGAAGACCCCTCGAATGATGGATAGAAGTGCCAAACTCCACCTCGGTCTTCTTGCTCATACCAATGGGTTCACAGGACTTCAAACTGCAGGTCAAAGCACTCCTCAACAACCTATGCACGACATTACCAATCAAATAACCCAGCATCAAACAACGCCACAGTCTAGCCGAATCAGATGAAGTCGTCATCTCCCTATCAATCGCCGTGCTTCCAAGCAAATAATACAAATTGCTTCTTCTGACGCCCTTCATCACAATCATGGACCCCAATGTGACCTTCAAACGTGCATCCACCAAGGTCACTTTATAGCCAGATGCCACCAAAGCTCCTAGTGAAATGATGTTCTTCGACAACTGCGGAACGAACCTCACTTCTTCCAACTCCCGTACCATCCCGTCACTCATCTTAATCCGAACGGTACCAATACCACCAATAGAGCATGCATGTCCATTACCCATGAGCACAACATCCTCTCTTTCCAACTTCTGAAAGCTGGAGAACCAATCCCTCCTAGGGCAAACGTGGTATGAAGCACTCGAATCTAACATCCACTCTGTAGAGTTGGCAACACAAACTGACGGTAGTGCAGACAACGAATAGCCCGAAGAATCCGAATCTGAATTGTTGCCACTAGTCTTGACAACATTCACCTCTGGAGCTTGTACAGCTTTTCCCTTATTCTTCTCGGCTCGATCTAACTTTGGGCATTCGGCTTTCCAATGTCCATCCTCTTTACAAAAGGCACACTGATTCCTACGAATCCCACGATGTGCACCTCTAGACTGTGACCTCCTGCTTCGGTTTGAACCACGGCCATGAACTACTAATGCATCTCCCGATGCCTTCTCAGAGGACTCATCAACACTCTTCCTCAACTCATAATTCACCAACGCTGAGGTCACCTCCTTATAACTAACAGTAGTTCTTCCATTAATCATAGTTAGGACAAACGTACCATAATCATCTTTGGGCAATGAGCACAGAAGTAACATCGCCTTGTCTTCGTCCTCAAATAATCATCATCGGACAACGAACACAAAAGTAGCATCGCCTTGTCTTCATCCTCAACCATGATATCCACATTAGCCATGTCTGAAAGTAGCTTTGTGAAGTTATTAACATGCTCCCTAATGGAAACTCCCCTCTTCATCTTGAACTGGTAAAACCTCTTCTTCAAGTGAAGCCGATTCTCAATGCTCTTCGTCAGATACTTCTCATTGAGTGTTTCCCACATTCTCTTCGCCGACGTCTCGTTCATCACGTCATAAATAAGATCCGGCGTCAAGCATGACCGAATAACTCCACACGCCCTACTATTCATCTTCTTCCAAACCTTAGCTTCCATCTCGGCAGGTTTCTCTTGTAACTCAAGAGTCTCCTCCAAATTCTGAGCGTCCAAGGCGTCCATCACCTGACATCTCCACAATCCGAAATTAATCTTGCCGTCGAACTTCGGAACATCAATTTTCATGTTATTGATGCTCAAACTATGTATCGTCTTCGTAAGAGACGATCCCGAAGTGCTTGTTTCACCCATATTGTCGATCTAATCTTCAAATAAGAATCCTTCAGCGAATCCTTCAAACAAGCTCCCAAGTCCAACCCGGAGCTCTGATACCACTTGTTGTGCGCAGCGGAAATTTCGGCAGCACCTCCGGTGCGCAAGGTGCACAACAAGAGAGTAGATCACAATGAAATTCTCGCTTCTCAAAGGAAACAAGAATCAAAAAGCCAGATATCTCATCGAAGTGAGATATCAGCTCTTCCTCTCGTCAGCTCTAGGACTGCGCGTCGAGGGTCCTCTCGTCAGCTCTAGGACTGCGCCAAATTCGAAACCCTAGGCAAATAGGGTATTAATAGGCAGCTGGTGTTTGTTTTCGGGTGGGCCTGCTAATGTTCTCAACTCCTCACGCGTTTTCCGCTTTTGCATTCACCTCACGTGGGTTGTGGCCCCCACGTCTTCACCTGACCAATCAACAGTATGTTAAGTCTAATGGGTTGAATGTTAAGTATAAGTTGTTGTGTGTTAAGTCAATGAGTTGTATGCTGAGTCTAATGGATGATGTGTTATTTCTAATGTGTTGAATGTTAAGTCTACAGGGTTAAATGTTAAGTCTAATCAGTTGAATATTAAGTCTAACGGGAAGAATCTTAAGTCGAATCGGTTGAATGTTAAGTCTCATAAAAAGAATGTTAAGTCAATGAGAAGAATGTTAAGTCTAAATGGTTGAATGTTAAATTCTAATAGGAAGTTTGTTAAGTATAAATGGATTGAATGTTAAGTCTCGTATGTTAAGACTAATAGGTTCGATGTTAATTTTTGTAGTTAGGATGTTGAATGTGAGCATTAATTTGTTTAGTTTTTATTATTTGTTATTGATTATATATTATGAACATTTTCTAAAAATGTGCAGCATTGTCCCCACTTTGAACTCAAAATGTACAAATATTTGCGCGATGTCAGCATGTGTTTTAGATAGGATTCCCAATGATAACCCGTCTAGCGATAATATTATGATGATTGATGATATGATCAACAGTTCAAAAAGGATTTCTGCTTGGTAGTACATTGTTTTAATCGAGGAGGCCATGTGATCATCATCGACTTCACCACATTGCTCACAAAAGTGCAACCGACGACGCATATTTTTCTTTAGTTTTGTGTTTAGAGTGTTTTTCACGGCCGCCATCGTCTTGCCCCTGCCGTCCATTGCAATCAACGACTTCGAAATCATGATCAGATACTCCCTTAGATGCCGTTTTCACCGAAAAACCCTAATCTTAAGTTGAAATTCAAGAGGGAAAAAGAAAATAGAATTTGGGATTTTTGGGTTCCTATTTACAGTAGAAGAGAGAGGGAGAGAGTACTTGAAAGGGGGATTTTTTGGGTTCCTGTTAACAATAGAAGAGAGGGAGAGAGTAATTGAAAGGGAGTTGGTGCGGTTACAAATATCGTAATGTCATATCATAAGGTTTAGTAATAATTTTAGGTGAGCTTTCTCTCACACTGCTTACGTGACAGTCTAACTGGGGCTTTGGCACAAATACTGCTAGTATTTGCGGCTGAAACATAAGGTCTAAAATACAGAGGAGCTGATCACATGAGCTGATTCGTATTGGGGAATTGACATAATTTTCTCTTAAATATATACTAGTGTGCACCCCGTGCAAAGCACGACTCCCTTTTTATTAGTTTTGCAACAGTAATTTTTTTAATGATACAATATTTTTGTAAATGCCACAATAATTTTTTTAAAAGGTACAATATTATGTTTTGTGCTACACTAATAATGCTAGTTAGCCGTAATATTTACTGTAACATGAATAATGAATCTTTAGATCATACACAAGAGTAGATAAGTATAGAGGAGTAGATGGACGCAAAGGTCTTATTTTAGAGGGGCTGCGTCGTGAAAAATAAGAAACACCCCTGATTTCTCTATAAATTACAACGACCTTGGTATCTTGTGTCTCTTTCGCCCCCATAATAAATAATAAATAAATAAAAAGACATTCACAAATCTCTCCCCTCAAAGAGAAATTAGTACAAAATTCCCATCTTTCCCCCTCTTTTTCCTCCAATCGACGTGACCTAGGTTTGAAATTTGGTCGATTCTAGGGTTTCAGATTCTGATCTGCTATTAGCTTAAGCTTGAAGGGCAACTAGGGTTTCAGATTCCGTAGATGTCGAATTCTGTGGGCGTGGGAATCTTAAGTAGTGGGCTGCAATGATTGCGATGGAGAGCTAGGGTTTTGTTTCCGTCGGAATGTAGGTCTTTTTGGGTGGTAGAGGTTTTGGGTTTGGGGAGATTTAGGTGGTATTTTATTTGGTGATTTTTGGGGATTTTTGGAGATTTTAGGGTTTGTGGATTTTGATTAATTCATAGAAATGGAGCATGTGATTGGTGGAAAGTTCAAGCTTGGGAGGAAGATTGGAAGCGGATCTTTCGGCGAGCTCTATCTTGGTATGTGATGAATCTCTAGAGTTTTACTATGCTTCAATTTATTAATTATATTAGTTTATAACGGTTTTTTTGTCTGCAGGTGTTAATGTTCAGAGCAGAGAGGAAGTGGCAGTCAAGCTGGTATCTGATGATATTAAAGTTTTTCTTTTTTTTCTTTTGTGTGTGTCGTGCGCTGTGTGGTGTGGTGTGTTGTGTGGGGGGGGGGGGGGGGTGTCATATTCCTATTTGAAATGATGTTACTTGCGGATAGTATTAGGAAGTGCTTGTAGTTTGATGGTTTTGGGGTTGCCTTGAGTCAAGTTTTTTTTTTTTTTTGTGTGAAACCATAGATAACAAATTTGGAACTCTGACCATATGTTCCATCTCTTTGCCATTATAAAATGCATATACAATCTATATATTCTGAAGTTATGGGTGATATTCATGCATAATGGATTCTAAACCAGTAGAAAGAAATTAAATCAAGATTATTTTATGGAACTTAATCATGACATGAAACTTGGAGAAGGGTTGGTTTTACGGTGCTACTAGCTTTTGAGTGTGTGCATATCGTTTTTGTTATTGGAACCTATAGAGTTTATTCTTTTCTCATGTAGAAAATGTTTTAACTGTTTGTACATAAGCACTTTAGATGTGTGACACACTTCGATGAAACTATTTAAATATCGTGAAACTGTACATCAGAATTCTAGGAGGGTGCTAAAGTTATAATGTATAAAATTAAATTTACTATTCTCCTCTTTCCTGCATAATTCACTTAAGCATAATAGCCAATAAGATAGCTAAATAGAAAGATGTTTAGATTCTTAATGCAAAATACAAAGAAATACATACTTTAGTATTTCCAGAAAAGTTTGTGTTACTTTTAGAGAATAAGAATGAAGTAGCTTATTCAAGTAGGAAATTCAGAAAGAGAATATTAAGCCATTCACTCGAGCTTGAAGAGGCCCAACTCTAGCAAAGAGCAAAAATCCCATATTTCAAAAGGACAATAGGAATTCTTAATTTAATAATTTTCTTTCATAGCAAATGAAAATTAATATTATGGGCACAGTTCCATGCTTCCGAAACAAATAAGGGACTGTCGTCATTTCTGCTTACTTTTCGTACAACAGTTGTGAAAACTCCTGGGTTTCTTTGCTGCTGATGTACACACAAAATTTAAGTCAATACTTTGTGAACTTATAGCAGTGTGTACTATCATTGATTGAAGCCTCACCTTTACTGTGAACTTCTAATGAAAGCTAATTGTGAAACCTTTTGGCACACTGTAAAATTAGATTTCACTCCCTTCCTTGTGTCATATTGCTGCTTTTCGGGTTAAAATGAAAGCAGTTCCTGAAGTATATGAAACATTTACTAATATCTTATTGACTTTTTACATTGGTTTGCAGGAATCTGTGAAGACAAAGCATCCCCAGCTTCATTATGAATCAAAATTATACATGCTTCTTCAGGGTGGAAGTAAGTAACTAAAATGATTTTCTATTTAAATTATTAAGTTTGTGATCTTGATTTCTTCTTTGATGCTGTGAAATAAAGCTGGAATTCCCCACCTGAAGTGGTTCGGTGTGGAGGGTGATTACAATATTATGGTCATTGATCTTCTCGGGCCAAGCCTGGAAGACTTGTTCAACTACTGCAATCGGAAATTCACACTGAAAACAGTACTTATGCTTGCTGATCAGATGGTAACTACATGATTCTCCCATTCTTTTTTCTTGCCTTGTTATCTGCAAGAGATAGACCTGTTAAAACTTAAGAAATGTTAATAAATTTTATTTCTTGTTGTATTCCAGTCATCTGCTATAATGTTTCTTTTTCATATTTCTATGCAGATCAATCGAGTTGAATATATGCATGCGAAGGGCTTCCTTCACAGGGATATAAAGCCAGACAACTTCCTCATGGGTTTGGGACGTAGAGCAAATCAAGTATGAAAACACCCATATAGTAATTATCTAGACTAAGCTGAACTGCATTCTTGATGTATGAAATATCTGGTCAGATTTTATTAGTTGATATGTTAACATTTTCTGCTTGCCTCACCTTTTTCCATTTCACATGTAATTTGAGATATTATTTTGGTTGTTTCCGCCGTATCTAGGCATTGAAGCCTAGCAATGGATGCTAATAGGAAAGATCGTGCAATCCATGGCTTTAATAGTAAATAAGTGCGTTGTGACTCAAATGTTTCAACATCATTGGTGTTTTCCTTCTACTTTCTCAAGAAGGATTTCTGTTAAAATTGTTTTGATGGTTACCAAGTGATGGGTGATTGTGTTTATGTGGCATGGTTCTCTTTTCCAAATTTCCCCTTGAGATATCTTTCTTTAGTTTACTTTTAGTTTGTTAAATTTCATGTTTGGTGAAGCTGTAGCTGGTTAATTGTCTATAACCCCTTTCATTCACATAAAGAGGGTTCAATTTTCTACAAATAACCATTTGCTTGACTAATTTAAGGAAAAGTACAATCTCTTCGTGCTAAGATTTTGTTATGTGATGTTGAATGTCGTGTCTGGATGTTTTCGTGTCATCAGTATTACACATATTGCATGCATCATGGGCCGGTTAGCATTGCAATGTCTACTCTTTTAAAGGACTGCGAAATATGTATGTTTTTCGTAGGTTAAAATTTCTTCCCTGAGCTGAGTATATACTTTATGACAGGCGTGTGGTTTTTCCTGTCATTGTGATTTCCCCCTACTGTTAAGCACAAGTATTACTGCTGCTAGGGACAGCTACAGGCACATGCTTTCCTTTGATATCTTGTTTGATTAATTCTTCATAATTTGTCCTAGTTCCTTTCTTTGATCTTGGCCCTTAGCACCTCTAAAGAAGCATCCATGTCCATAGAACCCAAGAATCAGAAATAGGTGAAGAATACATTCTGTGAAAAGTGGTCATATAATGATTCATGCAGAACTGGCCTTGCATCAAGATGGTTTGCTGTGAAAGATGATAGCAAAGTGCAAACACCTGTATGAAGACTGTTTATCCATATGTGTTTGCATATTATATGTTTGCTTGAAGTTAAGACTGGTGAAAGCAGCTAACTTTGGTAGACTAGAAACTTCAGACTGGGGGAATTCTTAAAATTTAGCTGCTTAGAATTTTCACTGAAAATGTGATTGGACTACCTTAGAACATTAGATGGAAGACTGTAGTTTCATTAGATAATAATCATCAGATCAATGCTGGCTGTGCTGCAATACCCTTTTGGTTGGTATTTCATGCTAGATATGGAATTTCAAACGCATACTTTCTTTCAATAATCAGTTATTTACTGAAAGGTTTCAGTAACATGCACAATTTTGTTTGTTAGATAGTCATTTGCAATATTTGAATAAGATTAGCAATATTTATTTGCTTATAAAAGGAACTATCTAGGCTTCATGCTATTCAATTTAAGTGTTCTTAATGAAACTCAAATAAGAGGTGAGAAGTTTTGTGAATATATTTAAATCATCATGTTGAGAGGAGGCAGTCAAGTATGAATTAGAATGATGCGAGCAAAATAGCATGCTGGTTAGCTCCTCTTTAGCTTTATAAGCTATTTCTTTCCTTCTGCATTTAATTTTGTATATTTATTTATTAAGCATCCGTAACTATGGATTAGCATTTGACTTATCTGGTTTGAAATTGCTCAACCTTAATGTCTTATATTTAGACTTAACTTTGAAAGCACTGTAGCATGCTCTTCTGATAGTCTATTTTTCCTAACAGGTTTATGTCATTGATTATGGACTTGCAAAGAAATATAGAGACCTTCAGACTCACAAGCACATTCCTTACAGGTGACTTGATGTTTCTTCTTGTATCAGGCACTACCTTTTAGTGCTTGAGTATGTGCTGAATCTGAATTTCACTATCATCGGGAGAACTTTTTCATTTGTTTTGGATCTCTTTTTTATTTTTATTTTTATTATCAAATAAGAGAGGGAAACACTCTGCAGATTGCTATATGAATGAGACATTTATCCATGTTGCAACGTCTCTCAGTGTATGTGGTGTAGACGCGTAAACTGTATTCTGGTTGCATATAAATGTTGATAGGATAGTTACTATGTTCTTGGTTGAGTCTTGGCAGGAGAGTGGTTAAGGAACAACATTTACAATCTTCTAACGGTTTCAATCTATGCATGATATTGCAGGGCTTAAGACGTGACATTGAAAAACATGCCTTGAGCCACTATATTTTTACCAAATGAAGAGAATACCTTATGACATGAGAGCATTTACTAATGGGTTAAGTGCAAATAGATCAACTGTAGTATTACCGAGTTGCGATTATACCCAAGTGCGAATACACCCTCTTAGTGAACTTTTTCAACTTGTTTATAAGTAAAAAAAAAATAAATCAATTGAAGGCCTATCCTAACCAATAGAATTATAAGGGGGTCTTTCCGCTTCCTCAAAACCTTTTTGATGATTTCAAGAGTCAAAAAAGATTCACCCGCGTGGGGAGGGTGGGGGAGCATTGTGGGGGACTACAAGGGGTCTATTTGCAATTCGGTGATACTCCAGGGGGTCTATTTACAATTAACCCTTTACTAATATTGCATATCATGTATATTTCAAAAAAAAAAGCCTATATCCTGTAAGTTATCATAATTGTTTGTGTGTACAGTTATCAGTTTTTTGATTATTTTGATGAAGTATTTTGGCAACATTTTAACAGGGAGAACAAGAATCTTACAGGAACAGCAAGATATGCAAGTGTTAATACTCATCTTGGAGTTGGTTAGTTTCTGATGTATTAATCCCTTAATTATATGATGACTTTTCTATACTAATATCCTAGATGCCTCAATAACCGTTTGCTCTTGTTGAATCTGCTTTATTGTTTACAGAGCAAAGCAGAAGGGATGATTTGGAATCTCTTGGATATGTGCTCATGTATTTTCTAAGAGGAAGGTTAGAACTAAATTAGAAGTGCCCTCACTGCTCTTTCTTTTCTTCTTTCTGTTGTCTTGAAACATTAATATGATTTATTTCTTGTGAACCAGTCTTCCCTGGCAGGGTTTGAAAGCTGGTACGAAAAAACAGAAGTATGATAAAATCAGTGAAAAGAAAATGATCACTCCTGTAGAGGTGTCATGAATGCTGGCCCAATAAATGTTACTGGATTTATTGTTGTGGTATCAGTTTATTAAGTCTTTATGCAATTTGATTTCAGGTACTCTGTAAATCATATCCATCAGAATTTGCAACTTATTTCCACTACTGTCGATCCCTAAAGTTTGAAGACAGGCCGGATTATTCTTATCTGAAGAAACTTTTCCGGGAGCTTTTCGTTCGAGAAGGTATATGCGTATCATGCTTTCTGTCTTCTGTTTTGTTTTTATTTTTTGACATTTTGTCGATCTTTGTAAATAAATTCAATTTTCTGATAATCATGGTTCCTGATCTTGTTGTACTGTAGGTTATCAGTATGATTATATATTTGATTGGACTGTTCTGAAGTACCCTCAGATTGGTGCTAATGCTAGATTGCGGGTATGCCTCCCTTTTTCTTTTCATGGTTTAGTGTATTGGTGATTGTATAATTATATACTATTGATATGCATTTTCCAGCAACCTAGCGGAAAAACAAGTGGGGCTGTGGGACCATCAGCAGAAAGGGCAGAAAAGACTTCAGGTTTCTCCTGCAATATGGCATGCAGTTTTTTAATGTGAAGATGTGGACTGAGAAGTGACCTAACTGTTTAATTGTTTGTATCATTTTATAGTGGGACAAGATATCCGAGATAGATTCTCTGGTGCTGTTGGAGCGCTTTCCAGAAGGAATAGTTTAGGTACTGCTCATTATGGAGATCGTTCCAGGCACAAAAATTTGGAGGAATCACCATCATCCAAGGCAGTTGTAAGTCATTAGATTATTGAAACTGATTTTAGGTTTCAACTATTCTTTTATGGTTATTTGATTCATTTGGTTATCATGAAACTTGTAACCTAATCCACAGAACATGCCCAAAGTTCTAATTCTGTTATTACTTTTGCACCTTTTGCCTTCAGTCAATTGACGGGCTAGGGGAATTTAACCCCTCAGCCTTCCAAATGCTTAAATGAGGTAGATAAAGATGTCCTGTCAGTTTATGCTTTCTCGTAAAAATTTAAATCATATTTATTGTTAAATCTACTAGACTTATCATTGATTTGTATTATTTATAATGCTATCAGAATTTTATGATTTGTTTCTAGTCAACAAGTTTTAGTGTCTCTACGTATTCTTGTAAGTTACATTTTGAGAGATTGCATGTTTGACATGTCATGGTATTTGGTCAAGAAAAAGTTGGATTGCAGATCAGCTTTTCTATTTGGTCAACAAGTTTTAATGTCTCTACGTATTCTTGTAAGTTACATTTTGAGAGATTGCATGCTTGACATGTCATGGTATTTGGTAAAAAAAAAGTTCAATTATTACTTCTTTACAAGTGTCTGAACATTTTAATAATCTTTGCTCTTTTTGTTGTGCATGTTTAGTTGATCTTGTAATTATTGTTAAGCTGCCAACAGCAATTACCGCTTTGTAAACTAAACCATAAAGATCCGGATACTATTTTGAAAAAAAAAAGCAAACTAGAAGTGCAATTACTACTTAGATTAGTAACCTTAGTTTAAACTGTTAGCAAAAGTATGTTCGTTGGCCTTCTCGTGACGAGGAAGTTTGACTTGGTTCAAGCTTTTTATCTTGCACGGCTCACCTCCCCCAAAATCCCAACCTATCTTTGATCGAGGCGGACGCGGACCTCTTTTTTTCCGTACCATTTGTCCTGTTGTTACCTGCACGATCGCCCCAGATTCAAAAATTTGATAGGATATTTCATTTATTCAACTTGGATAGAATACAATTGACCATTTTCTGGTTTATTCAAACCACATACTGATCTGATTTGGAAGAGCTAGTCACGTGATTCACATATCCCAGTGGCTGGCATTCTAGATGTATATGGTGGTAATATTTTGTTTATGTATTACGAGGATTTGAACCTGGATGGCACAGTGCAAATCTATATATCTCTATATATGCATTAAGGCTTGAACCATGTGAGGTAGAAGTGTATACTGAAATAGCCCTTAGCTTGTAAAAAGTTGAAGAGCTGGCTTCTCTTTTTCACTTATTATGTGTTAATTTAGATTTAAGTCTACCTATTTAACGTGCGCCTTCAATTTGTATAATATGTGTAACTTTGCTAGTGAACAATAACAGTATGTTTTCCTTACCTCAAGTATGGATACCTTTTTTCCGCTTGCATTTTTCTACTGCTTAGCAAACAATTAGGCCTTCTTTGTTTGAATAGAATATAAGACATGTTTCCGTTTAGATCTGTAGTAACAGCTAGATCTTTTGACAAGACAGTAGCTCGTATATGCACTAGTGCTCATCGCCGAGCGAGATGCCCTGAGCTTCCTAACAGCTTTTTGCTTGCCTGCTAATGGAGTATGATGACTGCCCACAGCTTCCTAATAGTTTTTTTTCCCATTTATAGTATCTGTGAATTGATCTTTTTCTCCATTGAGACGCAATTCATGAGTCACCACCTCTTGTGATGTATGCAAAAAAATAATTACAGAAAGCAGGAAATGCCAAGAATGCAGTTTCCTTCCCAATCTAGCTTGTAGCCATGAGCCTAAAATGACAAGAAACAATGTCTTTTGCCCTTGACCCTAGTTTTCTCTTTGTAATAACGATTCTGTTTCTGTTTTTAATGAATTTTCAGGTTGTTGACCCAGAGAAACCTCGTCCATCCTCTCGTCCATCTTCTCGTCCATCCTCTCGTAATGGCAGCACCTCAAAGAGGGGTATAGCCTCAAGCAGCCGTCCTACTTCTACAGAGCCCAGTGACCAGCATCATCCTTCTCGTTCTAGCCGTCTTGCTTCAAGCAGCAGCGCCTACGATCGCCCAGCCACAGTAGGGAGGCTCCATTCTTCTACTCTTGAGCGCAGATTCTCACCTCGCTCTCGAAATTCACCAGCAGCAGCAGCAGGAGGCAGCGGCCATGAAGAACCTCCAGTTCGAAGATTTGATCTCCTCTCCATTGGCGCTGATCGAAGAAAGTGAAATAAGTAGTACATTGCCATTTTTCGCGTCTTTGGTTGTGTTCTTATCTCATCTTTGCCTTTGTGGTATGAAGATATGATTGATTATTAGGGAGAAACCTAAATTTGTTGTTCATTCATTAATCCTGTTTCAACAGCTTAAAACAGAAACGTTTTGATATATTGTTTTCCTGGCTTGTCTTGCGGCTGGGATTGATTATGTGTGGAGAATTCATTCGCGGATAATTTGTTTATATGAGACGTTACATTACCAATAAAGCAACTGTGTTCTATATACATTTCTGAGTTTTCGATTGAAGATTAGAATAATCTGTGATTAATTTAGTCTGGTTTCTTTACCTGTTACGATAGTTGAATCTTGATACTGACCGATTTTCTGAAATTAGGAATTCCCCGTCTATAGATATTTCTCTGACTGTGAGGCCCGTATCAAAATTGAGGAGTATCTCGAAAGTTAGCATCATGTTGGCTCCATTCTCATGAACGGTACGTTTTATATTTGAATTAATTGTCGTGTATAATAACATTAGAAAATTTTTTCAAGGACCCAAAATATGAGATTAACATGGGGACACATGAGTTGTTCCTCTCCTATTGCATAATGAACTGACCATCGTTAAACAAAGCTCATATCAATAAACAAAGAAGCATGTGGCTACATGAGCAATCACTTGAAGATCTCCACGCAATCTTTCTCCGACGACGGCACGGCCAACGCGTAAACCACGTGACTTCTACCCTCAAAAGGCGACAGTGACCCCCCCAACCCTGCCCTTAATAACGGGGTTCCAGCAAAGCTCACTCAACCGGTGATCATACCTTGGGTTCCAGTATCGCGAGGATCAAGTTAGACGTAACCAGCGCCCCCCCCATCACGTGCGAAAAGTTTCCAACGACCTGATCAGTGGGTCCCACACCGCGTATATGTACACACGTAAATATTGACCGTTGCGCCCTCTTCTCTCTCTCTCTCTCTCTCTTGTTCTCCATCAACCAGCGGCCGAGTCTCGATCTCGATTCAATTCTCAATCGCTCTCTCTCTCTTCTCTCCCCCCTCGTTTCTTTTCTTCGAATTCAATTGATTTTGAATAGAAAAGAGTGGCGATCTAGGATTTCATATTGATCGGCGTCGATTTGGGCGGTGAGCTGATGGTCTAGGGTTTCCTTGGGTTCCCTGATTGTTTTCCAAGGATGGGCGAGGAATCAGAGGGGAGAGGAGATGGATCGTCTCTCGATCCGGAGCTTCTTCAGCTTCAAGAAGTGTCTTCGGTGGCGTTGAGGGATAATCCGGAGGTCGCGGAGCAGTTGTATAGGCAATGGCTCGCTCTCCCCGAAACTGCCCGATTGGTAATGTTTTCAATAGTTTTCGCTCGTACGAATGTTCAATTGGATGATGGATTGATACTTTCTAGTTTCTGCTGGCTTGCAATGATGGCTTTCCGTATTACTAGAGACAAAGATTGATTCTTTAGCTAGTTCCATGGCAACCTTGTGGTGGAACTTCACTCTTTTTGACTATTGGTTGTTTCTGAAAACTGTAAACTTTATATCGGAAATTCCGTCATTTCGTTAGAACCAGATAGTTCTGATCAACCATTTGGATTTCACTATGCTGTCTTATTCAATATCGCGAACTTGGAGGCCCAGTGATATGTATGATGCTTGGTCAGAACCCCATCAGGTTTGGAGCGTTTAGGGTTCTGGAGTTATGCTTGGTCAGAACCCCATCAGATTCTAAGTGTGATGTTCACTATTTAATTAACTGGTCAATATTTTTGTTGGCAGTGTTAAAAAAACACGAACTTACTAAGTGTGCGGTTTTACAGTGCTTAACGATTAATCGGATTATGCGTCAATTAATTGAACTATGCGGAATTATGCATTTTTGGATTTTTAATATATATTTATTATTTTTCATATTTTCAAACATATAAAATTTATGAAAAATAGAAAATATTCTTAAGAAGCTTTGGCTAATCTGTTTCACCGGAGAGCTTTGAGGGGAACGTCAGAGAGCTTCAAGGTGATTGTTGGAGAGCTTGTAGGGAGAGTGTCGGAGGTGGGACGATCTTCCAGTGAATTTCCGAAAAAGGCATGAGGTTGAGCAAGCCTCGACAAAGGTTGGAGGTATTTGTTGCAGCTGCAAGGTTTGAACAAGAGAGAGGAGAAGCAGAACTTTGGAAAAACTTTAGGGTTAGAGGTTTTTCACTTTAGTAGTTGGCCCAGGTTTGGGGTAAACGGGTTTTGAGCCGGAAAGGATTTAAAAGAAGAGCGCCCGCATAAAAATGATGCAGGTGCTTATGGAACATGCACCCGATTATATGGATGACTGCATAATAGAGTGCTTTCCCCCTGATCGGAGCAGTTCCAACCCATTTAAGCACAAGCAGCCGCTTAATCCGCATTTTAGAAAATTGCTTGTTGGACTCTGGAGCAATCAATCCAGCTAGTTAGCCATTAAAGACACAATGCCAGTTTCATTATAAAATTCAAAATTATCTTATCAAAATTTAAAATGGTCTATGGCTAAATCCCCAGGTCATCATCCACTCATATCTCCCAAAGAAGCTCTGCTACCTGTTAAAGCCGAGCAACCTTGATTTTTTTTTCATTATAGTTTATTAAGAAGCCTTGATGTCCTATTATGTTCGGAACATGATCTTGATTTGTAATTCTAGAATCTATGTTAAAAACTGCTAGTCAGGAATTAATGCCAAGAATTAATTATACCTGTGCATAAAAAATTGCAGCAGGCTTTCTTCTTCTAAGCAATAAGTAATGTATCTTTTCATTACTGTGATTTGGCCTGGACAAAAGCAAGGACCACCTCATCCTTGCTAGTGGAGTCTGCTCAGTTGAATATACTTCTTTTGTCGTTCCTGCTAGTGCTAATGTGATTGGGCATTCTTTTCATAATTAATGTGGGAAAATTTTGCATATTAGTGTCTCACCTTTTAGTGTCTGTATGCAGGTGAAATCTTTGATTGAAGATGCAAAAATTAAGCAACCTAGATTTCCCCCCCATTATAGTTGATTAAGAAGCCATGGTGCCCTATTACAATGGGAACGTGATCTTGATTTGTAATCCTAGAATCTATGTGAAAACTTATTATTTAGGAATTAATGCCAAGAATCAAGTATACCTATGCATAAAAAATAAAATAAAATTAAAGCAGGCTATTCTTCTTTTATGCAATAAGTAATGTATCTTTTTTAATACTGTGATTCGGCGTGGTGAAAAGCAAGGACCACCTCATCCTTGCTAGTGGAGTTTGCTAAGTTGAATATAGTTCTTGTCTTTCCTGCTAGTGCTAATGTGTGTGGGCATTCTTTTCATAAATAATGTGGGAAAATTCTGCACAGGAATGTCTCATCTTTTAGTGTCTGAATGTAGGTGAAATCTTTGATTGACGATGCAAAAACTGGCATGTCCTTGAATGCTTCCGGAACATCAAGTGGGAATGCTGCTTCAAGTAATTCAGTGCCGTCCATGTTTCCTGCTGGCAGTGCACCACCTCTTTCACCAAGAAGCCCATGTGGCTCACCTCGTTTCATAAGACGTGGTGCAGGGAGTAGCGGGCCTTCACCTTTAGGTTCTCCATTAAGAATACTTAGAGAGAAAGTGAGAGAAGTGATACCTCAGGTATCCATTTTCTAAACAACATTTGTCTTTCTTTTTATGGTGGTGAATACAAGCTCTTTTTTTTTTCTGGTTAGTGCTCTACTAACAGATATGTTGATTATATTGCAGTTCTATTTCCAGAATGGGCGACCACCACCTAGAGAAGAAAAGGAGGAGTGCTTATCCAGAATTGATCAGTTTTTCCTTAACCACTTGGATGGACTGCAGGTTCAAGGTGAGATGCTTCCATTCACAATTATCCACACTTGATATGGAATTTTGGTTAATCATTCTATATTGGACGTTGCATGGAAGAGTAGGATTCATAGAGTTACCCCAAAAATGGGATAATGGCTTAGTCGTCGTATTCTGAATTGAATATCAAGAACTAAACCTTTTACTTTTTCGTAATATCAGAATTTAGATTGGTTACGAAGGAAATCTGCAAGCTGCCATCATTCGTTTACAGTGCTCTTTTCAGAAAGATTGATGTTCATTCTACAGGAAGGGTGACAAGGTATGCAGAGGAATTTTTTTAATTTTGAGCTGCTATGGTAAACTAAATTCCAATACATTTGTGGTTATGAGAAATAAATTTATTCTTCTAAAGAAAAAGAAATAATTTATTTGGTATACTTTTGTTAGATAACTTGGCTGCCTTTTTAAAAAGTTATTGTGATTTTCTTTTCCTCTTCATTACTGACCAAATGGTTACGAGGCTTTGTTCAGTTTCCTCATACTAGTGTTTCCTTATGTCTGTAGAATATCTCTAGCTACTACACGACTACTGCACTGAGACAATTATTACTTTAATGATTTTTAAACCTAGGTTTTGAGCTCAGCTTTAACTAAAGTGAATTCTCTTGAGTTCTTCTTTTGAAAGGGCTTATATTAATGGGCAATTAAGAAACAGATGGAAGGCAAAATAATCAAGAAGATGAAAACAAAGGTTATACTAAAAAGAATGCATTGTGACCAAAGGAAAATTTATTGTCAAATCGACATGCTGAGAATAAACATAACCTATATGTTTGATATATTAAATACACTAACAACAAAACTAGGAACTTGTTATGCTAGTTTTCTGCGGTTCGCCCCTTTTTGTCTATCAACTTATCACTTTACATTAATATCTGACCCACTCTTCCCAAATATTAATTTCAACTTAAGATTGATGTATCTACCGTAACCTATATGTTTGATATATTAAATACACTATCAACAAAACTAGGAACTCGTTATGCTAGTTTTCTGCGGTTCGCCCCTTTTTGCCTATCAACTTATCACTTTACATTAATATCTAACCCACTCTTCCCAAATATTAATTTCAACTTAAGATTGATGTATCTACCGCACACAAGTCAACTTCATATTTCTGATATTATGCTCCCACTTCCAGCTTAACTTTCTTTAAGCTAAATTCAGAAATAATCCAGTTGTTGAGTTCAAGTATTAATTGCACTTCAGATCACAATAGCCTTTTTTTTATTTTTTTGTTAGAGGCCATAGTTCCATCCAGTAGAATGTGATTATTAGTATCCTTATCATTGCTTTTCTGTTAGAACTTAGAAGTGTTATGTTAGAGACATAGAGCTGCTCATTCATTTGGAGAGAATTATATGTTAACATGCTTGATATCTCTTTTCTCAACTGATTCAACTTCAAAAGTTTTCTATTGCATGAACAAGACTTTTTGTGTGTGCGCGCGCGCACGCGCACGCGTGTGAAATTTGAGAGTTTCTAGTAGACAATATTCACCCCTATTTCTGAGAAAACATTTTACTTCTTAGATCTTTTCAGTAGAGGAGTCCCTTTGGTTAAATGTTATAATCAAGACAGCTGAAAGTTATAAGGTATTATTTAGATTGGGCTAGATGAACTGGAAGATCATGGATAGTTTTGGTATATGTTCAGTTGTTGAAGGGCCAGAAAACTAAAGAAATGTACCAAGATAATAAATTTTCGATATGATCTTATAGTTCAAGATTCAGTAAGCTATCGTCTTGTATGCAGATGAGCCTTAGACTCGCCAGAAGGCACTGTCCTAGCTGTATTGGGAAAATGTTAGTCACTTGTCAACTTTATTGCACAAAGATGAAGGATACAGATGTATTATGATCATGCTATCCGAATATCCATCATGATATAGAAATTTACTCTTGCTTGGAAAAGATATAAGAATAGATTACTCTCGTTCAGAGAAGGTGTGAGCTGAATTAATTGCTCTCCTGTGTCTCTTCCTTTATCGGAGGTTTGGTTATGACGGCTTACATCATCCTGTACATCCTCAGTCTCAACCATGAAGATGATAGTAAGGAGAAGCCTGAGGAACAAGATGTAAACAAGATCAAAAGTGAACCATTATAGAGTAGTAGATACTGGAAGCTGATATCATATGTAGGATTTGGTCAAATCAGGATTTTGTTTGAGCCTTTAGCTGATCAGGTTACCATAAGATGATAATTAAGGAGAAATCTGAGGCGCTAGCAAAACAGAAACAAGATTAAAGGCGTACCATTAGTAGAGTAATAGGTATAAGAAGCTGATATCATATGTAGGATCTGATCAAATCAGGATTTTGTTTGAGACTCTAGCCAGTCAAGTTAGGATCGAAGAAGAGGGATGAGGATGGGAGAAGCGAGGTTTGGTTGCTAGTGGATTTGAGTGGCGTTCACGTGCAGTGGACCATGGCTGGGGCTCTTGCTTAGTGGATTGCTATGGTTGTTGGCATGAGTTTGTTAGGAAGGCAAGTGTGGGGAGAATGGACAGGAGATTTTGCAGGATGTGGCACTGAGGAAGCTGTAGGTGATCGGATCTTTCCAATGTGAGCCTAAACTTTAAATTAACACTAAGTACTCTAATAGTATGTTTGTTATTAGAAATGGAATTTCAGTTTGTTAGTCTATATTTTTTATGTCCTTGTTAGACAGATTATTAATGGACATAATTATCTTATACTTTATTTGAACTACTACGAAGAGTTGTTTTTAACAAGTTTCCTTCATGTATCCAAATCAAAATATGATTTCGGTGGTGGAACTCCAAACTAGGCATTGAAAGTTGAAACAACTAGGCTTTTATCCATATTAAGATTACAGCCTTTGTTCTAAACTCTAAAATTCAAAGCACAAGTTATATTTTCAATTCTGAAGAAGCTTTTAGCGATGAAGTTGTGTTATAAGTCCTATCTATATCCATCCATGTATGTCATTTGACATGTGAATTAGTGCATGAGCATGAGTTAATTATGTTCTGTACCATGTTTTCATTATTTGTTAAGTTTATTGGATGTTTGGTTCACTATATGCCTAACCATGTCACTGGTTTTTACGTGCTTTTAGGGATGCATTTATCGATTATTGGGTCAATAACAACATGATGACCATGGATACAGCCACACATATATTCACGATTTTGAAGAAACCAGATAGAAAGTATCTCACCCAGGTTCATATTCTGTCACATGTTTCCCTGTTTTAGATGACACATTTACCTTTCCTTGAAATGCATATTCCTTTTCCCCTAGAGTCTGCCTTTGCTGTTTCGTTGAAATGCACATTTACCTATTTTGCATTTTTTGCGGTTAAAGAGCTTTGGGTGTAATTTTCTATGTTTAGTGCTGATTGTGTTCTATTTTGACAATATAGGAGGACTTCAAACCTGTTCTTCGAGACCTTCTAGAAACTCATCCAGGATTGGAATTTCTGCAGGCAACACCTGAGTTCCAGGAAAGATATGGTTGGTTTTCTTTCTCTTTAGCAGTTTCTTTCGAAGATAATTATGATTAATTCTGTAGACTGTTTTCTTTTTCTTTTTAAAATCTTTTTCTTTGAAAGTATATAGTTGTGAGATGAAAGTATGTCCATATATTATTCCTCGTCATTGGTCATTTGGATTATGCCCGGCCTCTTGCAACTTGTAATTTTCAAAGTTGGAAGTATCATCAATTTTAAAGAAGAAAAACTGCTTAAATTGTGATTCAAGTCTCAGTTTGGTAGAAGAAAGCATCTAAGTGTTCATGGAGATGTGTTCATCAGTTAGCTTGCAGTTTTAAGATAGTAGATGATTTTGTGCACTCCTCCATTAAATTTCACTTTTTTTCACTTTGATAATTTGCATTTACTTTTGGTGCCCAATGGTGTTAGCAAGACTAATATGGTTTCATGTTTTGTTCACAGCCGAAACTGTCATATACAGAATATTTTACTATGTGAATAGATCTGGAAATGGCCATCTTACTCTAAGAGAGCTGAAGCGTGGAAACTTAATAGTTGCAATGCAGCATGCAGATGAGGAGGAGGACATAAACAAAGTTCTAAGGTGATTTACTTGCTTATGAATGTAGTATCCGTATAATTGAGTAGTAATCATATTATTAAGAATGCTGCATTTTATGCATTGTTTTCTTAATATACTCAGTTCTTGTTGACCAGAGTTCTCAGCTTTAATTATAAGCCTTGGGTTTTGTATTCACTTAGATTTTTCTTTCTGGGTTTGATATTTCAGCTTGTTTAATTATTTGTTTTATTTGCTTCCAATTTCCACACATCCTTATGTGAACTTCATTTAGAAAAAAAGATGGTAAATTGTGGATATTGACTAAATTCAACAGTTCATGTTTTCAGACAATGTCTGTCATGCCACAGCGTGATAGAAGTAGTATTCTAGTTTTTATGGTTGACGATTATGGACAATGACCATGGTATTTAACCATGATTTTGCTATGCCTACGATAAGCTATAAAATCTATAATGGGAATAATCTTCATTGTATTATTTAGTTTCTGTTTAATTATACAGGTACTTTTCGTATGAGCACTTCTACGTGATATACTGCAAATTTTGGGAGCTTGATACGGACCATGATTTCTTGATCAACAAAGAGAACCTCATAAGATATGGAAATCATGCGCTTACTTATAGAATTGTTGACAGAATCTTTTCACAGGTTTGTAGCTGTTAAATATTGTCATTATTCTCATGTACTAAGGGTTAATTCAATGTTTACAAGTAAATCAGGAGACCTCTTAATACTTACCTGTGACATTGCCTTATGTTGTAAATGCATTTTAGGTTCCCAGAAAATTTACAAGCAAGGTTGAAGGAAAAATGGGTTATGAAGATTTTGTTTATTTTATATTGTCGGAGGAAGATAAATCATCTGAACCTAGCCTTGAGTATTGGTAAGATATTGATGATGTAATTGCTGATAAGTCTTAATCCCATTGCATAGAAAGTCCTAATTAAACTGTGTTTCCTTTTTTATGATTCAGCCTAGTGTTGCCTTGTTTTCTACTAGTGTTGCATTGTTTCTCTTCTTTTAATAAAAATCAGGTTCTGATTATATTTCTGCCCTTTAATCTGTAATTCTAATCTGTAATTCTATGATATGTGTAGCTCCAGCTTCTGAGATCTGTATGAAAAGGTTTAAGTCCTTTTTTTTTGCGTTTGTGTGCTTGTGGCAGAGCTATATAATATACTTAATTTTTGTTTTTGGTTATACTGGATGTTAGAATATAAAAATATATGATCCTCAACCCTCACCACGACTTCAAAGTTTTGGTGTGGCGACAAACTTCAAGATGGTATCAGAGCAACCCAGGTTCTCTTTCCACCAGCCATGAATTTAAAGCGGATCTTTAAAAAAATTGATCACGCTATGTGAGTCCAGGTTTCAGCCCATAACAAGGGCGATCAACCTGCCGTGGGGCGGGGTGGGGTTGGGTGGGGGAGGGGTAAGGGGCATGTTATAATTTAGAAATATACATCTCAAGTCCTCAACCCTCATCAACCATAGCTTTATCAATCACTCCAAATTCTATTACTATCATCTTGTCTATTAGTCCAAGTTAAGTAGCAACCTGACTGACTGAGATGTTTAATTTGACAAGAACCTATGCAAATGTGAAAAATCTCTAGTCTCATAATCAGTAACCTGAGCTCTTTTTATTTTTATTTTTGCAGTTTTCAGAACAGTATTGCTCTCAAATATCCCCTCTGCTTAAATAAATAATTTGTGTTTAATGAATTATTTGCATGGGCATATTTAATTGAGTTTAGTGAATTATTTGCATGGGTATAGTTGTTTTTGTCTTTTTCGATGAACGCTCCAGGTCTTCACTTCCTTTTATTTCGCATGAATGATGCTTGACTAAGAAGGGCATTTTATGTGTGTGTGGAGAGGGAGGGAGGGAGGGAGGAGGGTTGACAATAGTTTGCCTTTTGATGGAGAGGCCTTTTAAAAATAATTGAACGCACGAACCAGTGATTGATGGAGAGGCCTTTTAAAAATAATTGAATGCACGAACCAGTGAGAAAGACCTCGCTTAAGAGAGAGAGAGAGAGTTGACGATAGTTCGCCTTTTGATGGAGAGGCCTTTTAAAAATAATTGAATGCACGAACCAGTGAGAAAGACCTCGCTTAAGACGTTAAAATCTATATGGTACTCTTCAAATTGAATTTTTTTAGTCATTTAATTTTTACATTTTATTTTGATTACTTATTCATTTCATGACATGGCACATTAATGTCAATAGTTAATGCCTTGCATGTTTAAGGCACTATAATTTGGTAAGGTAGCAATTATTTTTGTGTCTCTAGCTGGATATATATGAGAACCATTTTTATCCACTATGGTGCCTGTTATCTACATAATGTTACGTGATATATGCTGTTCGTTGTCCTCTATCAAACATGGGACCTCAACTTCCATGAAACTGATATTCGTCATTTAGAACCTTATTTGTAACCAATAGAACTCTTAGTTATATTTGCTATAACCTGTGCTGTGTTAAATTTGGAGTTATGGTTACTGATTTAGAATCAGTAGACTCTAGGTTGCAGTCACTTAACAAATAAATTGGCTACTCAGGTTCAAGTGTATAGATTTGGATGGGAATGGGATTCTGACACGTAACGAGATGCAATTCTTTTATGAGGAGCAGCTGCATCGCATGGAGTGTATGGCACAGGAACCCGTACTCTTTGAGGACATCTTATGCCAGATGATTGATATGATTGGTCCAGAGGTCTCTTAACATGTTTGGGCAATAAATTTGTGTCGTGTGTGTGCGTGCGTTCGCGTGTGTATGTATATATATAATTTAATGATGAGTATCATATTATATACAAGGGGTTTCCCTCATGTAGAGTAATGTGGCTAACTCTCAGCCAGATTATGTGCTGAGTTAAGTAATAAAGAAAGAATCCCCATTCTTCACTTGGCTGAGATGCAGCCTGATCACCGTATATGAGGGAAACCCCTCGTATTTCATATTATACTCATTATTATTATTATTATTATACACACACATATTCGTACGGAAATATGTATGTATGTACATGATTATCTGAAGATGTAATCTCATGTCTCTGGCGTCTATTATGCAGAACGAGAGCTACTTGACTTTGCGTGACCTAAAAGGATGCAAACTGTCTGGAAATGTTTTCAACATCCTTTTCAACCTCAACAAGTTCATGGCATTTGAAACTCGTGATCCATTTCTTATTCGTCAGGCAAGTTCCTGCTTTCGGCATGCTTGTTTATTACTTGTCTTGTTAATGTTATTTTAAAGATTTAAACTGATTGTGGTGCTTATGATAGCCTTCTTCATTGTTGTCCATGCAGGAGCGTGAAAATCCGACATTGACAGAGTGGGATCGTTTTGCACATAGAGAATATATTAGGCTGTCAATGGAGGAAGATGGTGAAGATGCTTCCAATGGAAGTGGGGATGTGTGGGATGAATCACTCGAGGCTCCCTTTTGAATTCACATTCAGGTTAGGTTTTTCTTTATTTTCTGAGAAAATACGCTTGTCCCTTATAATTGTCACTGATTTCTGGCTGAATTACAAATTTACCTTTTTACTTTTTATTTCCTGAAGACAAATTTATATGATAGTGGTACATGTGACTAGCAATGTATGGCACTAGACAGCTCAATGGAATACTGCATCTAGGATGTTAAGACCCAGATAGCATTATACTGTGGAAAGATGGCCTTGTGGAGGAACTCAAAATTCTCCTGCCAATAACTTAATGTGAACAAAAAGGACTACTAAATGAAAATAACAATCTGTTAGGTGCCAATAATTAATATATTAGACATAACTAACATATCGCATCTGTTATTGTCAGTATGGTGATGAAGTATCATTTAGTTTGATTTTTAGGCGAAAGGCTTTGAACCCGTGTGATCCGGGAAGGGAACCTTCTATTATAAATTTATAATCATGGGTCTAAACATGTTTAACCTATCCATTTGTTTTCCTTTTTCTCGTTGGGACTAATCATTTTCCTTCTACCTTGGCCTTTCCTCCCATTTGTGGACATGGATAATGGGAGTTCTACCTGGGTTTGGTTAATCACCACTGTTCTGCCTGGGTATCTTTATCCGCGTTGGATAAACCCAAAGCAATCTGAAATTAGATGGGTTGGAGTTGGATGCATGTAAAACTCCAACTTCCCACCTGAGTAGTGTAACAAATGGGGGTGCTTGAGCTGGATCCCAGCTACAACATGAGCACAATATGCACCGTAAAGTATTCTACTACTGATTATAAACAAGTAGACATGAATAGTACAAAGTACAAACCACATAAAACTCAAAATCTGAAGTATGCCAGTGGTGGAAATTATGTTCAATTTTAATCAGCATCAGAAGCAGCACCGTCATAGTTGCTTAAACAGGGCCAAGGCTCTATTTTGAAGAGGAGGCTTGATGATAGTATTTTATGAGAAGCTTTGCACCTGATATTGACCCCTTTGAGTGTTTGACTTCCTGGCTGAGGAGTTGTGAAGAAGGAAGGGGCTTGTTGTAAAACTTGGGTCAGTTACCTGGACGGAAATTACTTGGTCATACAATTTGAATTTGTGTAACTTAGGAGAAACCTCGTGGATTTTCTCAAACTAAGAAAGAGTTTAGTGAGTAGCGACGTAAAAGATTCTTATGGGGAATCATAGTCAAAAGAAGAAAAAAATGAATGCAAACACGTTTCTGTAGATTATGTTCAGCTTTTGCCTGGAGTTAGTGTAGTCAGCTTCATTATTAGTTAGTCGCAGGTCTATTCCTACTAACTTTGGTATTGTCCCGCTGTTCTATTAATCAAGTCATGGTTTTTCTTCTCCAGGTTCCTTTACAAAGAAGCTCTTGTGTGGCGGGTGATTTTCAAGAGCTCAGAAAAGAAGCAGCAACAGAATTTTGTTTCAAAGAACTTGGATGCAGCTACTCTCCTAATCTTGATGAACAGTAAAATTTTCTGATGCGTGAGTATTTATGCTGAGGGTACTGAAAGAAAACATCATTTGTTGAATCACTTTGGTTGGCAGTTCCCTGTATGGTACCCAAGAAAAGAGATGATCACACTATTGATTAAATAATGCCCAGGTATCATAATTCATTGTAAAATTGGTTTTATACATCCTTGGAGAAGATTCAATTTTGTGCCTAGTTCAATTTTATCCTGTTCTCCACCCTTGGAAGTACACATAGGTGCCAATTTATTTATGGATTTCTAGGACATTGGATCTTCCAGTTCTCAAGTCGCTCATACCCGATGTACCTCAGCACCCTTTTTGATATTAGATCCAATATGTACGATGGATTTGAGGGAAGAAACTTAATTATTTTTCTTATTTTAGTTTTTTCCTTGTTGATTTACTTGTTCAAATTCGTCTTTTTAATGTTTTCTTCGTTAAAGCTTGTATTTAAAACCTTATTTAGAAACTGTGACAAAATATGATTGTAATTCATTGATTTATTTGATCAGAATTCTTGTAGTTATCACTTGTTTGGATGCACATCATTGTGGATGATTTGGCTAAAAATTTAACTCAATGTATGTTTTCTCAAGTCTCTTTTAGGATGTGGATTTGAAGGAAATTGCTATTTACTGGTTGGTTGGTGAAGTATCTATTAGTTGGAAGTTTAGTGTCGAAGCTGTAAGTCTCCGTGTCTAGTTTAGCTCATATTATTAGGACTGTTACTCAGATGCATGAAACCGACACATTAGGCTACCTAATGTTGTTGGTATATACTGAGATTCATAAATTTGACTTAAGACCAGTGCTACCTAAAGCTGGTGATGGTATATACTGAGATTCATAAATTTGACTTAAGACCAGTGCTACCTAAAGCTGGTGATATTTTTCCTGCACTTGTTCCGCAGCAATTAGTTGATTCGTTTAAGACCAGTGCTACCTAAAGCTGGTGATATTTTTCCTGCACTTGTTCCGCAGCAATTAGTTGATTCGTCGGTTCAATGTTTTCGTTGTAACTCACTAAGTTCTAAGACCTTTTGCTGCATCAGTCATGTTTATGTTCCTTGGTAATTACCAATGAAGTAGCAGAACCCATTTGATCATTTGTCGGAGAGCAAATAGCATTTTTTTTTAAAAATTCAAATCTTGAGACGTTGAAAAGGAAGTCGGAAGTTGGCATAACCATTAGCAATCAGCAGAATTAGATTTTTTTTTTAATTCTCTTTTATGCTTGCAGTCGACGAAGTGGGAAGAACTCTACCTTACGTAAACTCCTTATTTGCTGGCCGAGTATGGCAAAGGTCTTACATGCATCCTACTCCTTCACACACAGAAATCCTACACACCTTTTAATTTCTTCTACCTTATGTAAACTCCTTATTTGCTGAAGTCAACAGTAGCAGCTATATGACAAGTCTCAGCTACTTACCAAGACAATGTACAAAAGAGTAGCATGGACCACTTATTAATGAGTAGTTTAGATTTTTTTTTTTTTGCATTTATAACCTACAATAATTGAATTGAAGGTGTTCAATATCATCTAATCTGAAAAGCTTATTGTTTATGTTGTTCCAAAATAAGCAGCGATGTTGGTATCGCTATTACTCTAGTAGTAGTTGTGACATGCGTGCCTGAGACCTGATAATTAAACCCATATTAATAGGAATAGTTGGACCCAGGGCCATTAATGTAGTACAGCAAGAGCATTTGGTCAGGCTGGGGGCCTTTCAATTTGTATTCTAAAGAGTGTATATGATGTAATGATGCCTCATGTTTTTTTTTTCTTTTTGGGTGTTGTGTCACTGTTGGCAGCTGTGTCTTTTTGGCTTATGGGGGCTGGACCGTTAGGTGGTTTACATACTTATCAAAAGAGTTCAGAGGCCTTTGCTTGCGAGAGAAAGCATTCCTTTTCTCTGTGTATGCTTTTGTTGAGGGTAGGCAATCTGTGCTGTATTGTTGAGGAGGAGTTCCAGGGATACTCGCGCAAGGCGAGTGTTGCTGTTACTCGCTTCTGCCAACCCAAAAGAAAAGAAAAACTGAATCTAAACCCGATTTAATTGTAACCCAAAACTAAACACAACCACCACCCCTTTTGTTTTCGAGCGAGTGTCCAAGGACAGTCGCGAAAGACAACCGTCCTTGGACTTTTTCGTTGTTGAGCGCTGAGACGCTGTTGAGCTATAGAAGGCATTCAGGTTAGGGGTTTTTTCACCAATGCCGTATTTAAAATAGGTCGAATTGATAAAAAATAAGTATTTTCAGACGTAAAATCTTATAAGTAGGTTCAGTTTTCAATCAACCACTTTATAACTCAATTATCCAAACCGTCCTCATTACTTGCACACGTAACTAATGAGGGTAGTTTGGGTAATTTGAGCGGAAATTGGCAAATAAATGATTGATTGAGAATTAAAAGTACTTATAAGGTTGTTTCGGTATATAAAAAAAAAGCTTCAAAGATGGTTTCTATCGATTTGGCCTATTTTAAAGGCGGGTTTCATGAAAAAGCCCTTGAGGTTATGCTTACTTTCTCTCAAAGTGTAGATACTAAGTTGTGTTTGTCATCACCCAGGTTTTGTTGGCAGTGGAAGTGGTTATGAAATCTGATGAAGGCTGGAAACAAATATGGAAAAGAAAAGAAAAAACTCAGCCAGTAGGTATGATGCAAAAAACATGCATTATCTATATTAGGATGCAAGGCATCTCTCTCTCCATCAAACAAGAAAAGTTGTGCTTTTTTTTTTTTTTGCTGGTAGCTTCCATTCACAGGGAGGGCTCCCACCCTCAGAGAAGTTCATAATGCCAGAAAGCTGACAGGACTCGTGAGAATTATCTAACAGCATTCAAAAGATTATTATGCTGTACATCCTCTCATAATCGGGAGAATATATCAATCAGGCCTTATCCAACAACTGGTGTGATTGATTTGGTGTTGAGAATTTGCTCCCTTTTCTAAAGTTCAATCCTATTCATTCATTCACTCACTCACTCACTCACTCAATGAGTTAGGTGGTCAAGAGGAGGAACGTTGCTTGTCCTTTTGTTGTAGGTACAACCTTGTTATGAGCTTCATTTATGATTTCATCATCACAATCATCCAATGCCTTTGCTCCATCATTTTTGGGCTGGTATTGTCAAATTTCTTGAATCCATACAAAAGAGAAGGTGCTAACATTTTCCCTCTAATCTATGTAAGCTACTGCAAAATAGTTGCTTGGTAATAAAATATCAAAAACTGCTTAAGAAGCGGTTGATGTGTTTTGTAGAACCGTGCTTAATGTCCATTGTTGAAAGATAAAAGGTAAATATTGTATATAAACTAAAAAAAAAAGCAGAAGTTGCTTTTAAAAGCACCCTCGTATTGCTTCTAAAAGCACATCTTAAAAGCAGAAGCAATTTCAATAAGCATGTCTAAAAAAGTTCTTTACCAAACGCAAGCTTATTGAAAAAAATAAGCAGAAGCACCCTAAAAAAAATAATAACAAATTTGCCCTAATTTCTTTAAACCCAACTATATCCTATTCGGTAGTCTGGCATGCGTTGGAGCTTTACCTAGCCATCATCAAAGAAGCAAGTTGAGTGTGAGTTTGGCGAGTCAAAGAGTCTCAAAAGCCAATAGTTTTACTAATCATATAGTACCTATTATTTATATCAAGTACATATTATTCATATTAGTATATGGATTATATATGCTTGATTTATGCTAATCATGTTGGTAGGTTCCTCTTCCATCGTGCAAGCAATCTCTTTCTTTCTTGTTATTATTAAAGGTTGGGTCAAAACATGTGAAAGGGTATGAGTGAAAGTTTACCTAACTAATATATATTTGCATGAAAGGGTATGAGTGAAAGTTTACCTAACTAATATTTGCAGTCATATAATGGACTTAGTCATATAATGTCCTAAAATTGTAATAAGTAGCGGTTACTGTATGAGAGCAAACATGATTATAAGTGGATGTGTATGGTGAGCAGCGGTCGTGAATTGGATTATGAGATGTCTCAACAATAACTAAAATTTATCATTATCTGCAATTAACTCAGTTCACCTACTTTTATCAGTATATCATATGTAAGCAGAGATGGTGGTTGTATTAGTACAGATAGAAGTATGTGAATTCAAAGGTAAATATAAATAATATTTTGAATTTATGAGTATAGATAAAAGGAAGTGGGTTTAGAAATAAATCAGAGTGAAGCTTTGGGTTTACAAGTAAAAGCCCATAGAGATAAATAAATACTAGATTACCACATTAGTATTATAAGTAGTACATAATAATCAGATTGGTATTAGAATTATCTCTGACGATAACAATGTATTTAAACTTGCACGATGAGATAAATAGGCTCAAAAATAAAATTTTCATCCATTTTTTCGGCGACCACTCAAGGTGATCTGCAACATGTGCTTATGTGGCACAATTATGATGACGTGGTGACAGTAGTTAACCTCATTCAAACATTAAGAAGGAGGGATTTTCATAATTGGGTAAAAGAAAAGATTGATTTTTTTAAATTGGGATTTCTCCACCTTCTTCCTTTAAATTGGGGATTCTTCCTTACTTGAGCTCAAAGAATCCATGTTTTTCAGTAATGGAGAATCTCTAATTAAACAGAAGAAGGAGAAGAAGCCCGCAAATTTAAAACTCTCTCTTTTCTTTTTACACTAACTAGTATAATGCACGTGCTTTGCACGTGAACGTATATGTTTTTAGTTTTGAATTTTTTATTGAATAGTAAAACTACGTGTTAATAAATAAAATTGCATCATAATATTGCTTAAAAAGAAATGTATGAATTAACTATTATTGTGCAATTATTGTAGTTGAATGTTTTTCTTATAATGATCGCCCGGTGTTAACCCTTTTTTAAATAAGTCCCCGAAATATAAAATTATTCTTAAATAAAACTGTCAATTTTATAAGTTTTCTTATATATGCCCCTCAAACTTGAAAGTTGTAGTAATCTTTTTCCTGATGTTCCTTAGATAATTACACTTAATACTTGCAATATATTACAATAGTTACTTCTCATCATAATTATTTAATAGGATAAATTACACTCAACCCTTATGAACTTTCAGCCCCTATGAATTTTCAAAATGACACTAAATCCCTAATGATTTTGATGTTTCAAAGAAAACCCCCAATAATGTTTCGAATTTTGTAGATAACCCCTATAATTAGAACTAAAAAATGGCACAAAAAAGGCATTTTGAAAGTTACTGGGGGTTTGGTGTAATTTATCTAAAAGATATTGGGGGCTTTCTATAAAAGTTGTTAGGGGTTTTGTGTGATTTCAAAAGTTCATAGGGTCTATTTACTGTAAAATATTAAAAGTTCGTCGGGGTTTACTGTATTTACCTTATTTAATATTATAATTCTTAGTTTAAGTAATACTATTAAAATAATTATATACTATAAAATATTTATCTAATTTATTTTTTTTAAATTTTGCTCTTAAATAATTTAGTACTATAAATATCTTATAAATTTTCATTATACTATCGTTAACAATAAATAGTACTATTATTAATATTAAATAATTTTTTAATAAAAAAGTTAGTTTTCAATAATTACCAAGTATAGATTATTCAGTATCATGTAATCATCTTTGAGAAAATACTCAAAAAATAATATTAAATTATTTATTTAATTATATAATACTAAATAAATAGTGTAATTCTTAATTTATGTGATATTATTTAAAATAATTACACTGTTTATGAGATCAAATATTTATTCTATTTATTTTATTGCTCATTGTGTTATAGTATAATTCTTCATAATATTTAGTAATATATTATTCAATTTATACTATTATTTTAATTATTTTATTATAATTCACAAATAATTATTATAATAATTTAATTGGCTACTAGTAATAATAATTGTGTATACTTAATTTTATAAAATTAGTTATTAAATTATTTTTAAACAATTAATAGTTAAAATATTATTGATAATTATAATTATTTAGAAAGGTTAGGAGATACATAATTAATAATAGGTTATATTTATTTAATCAAAGATTAATTAAAGATAGCAACGTAGTTATACTTTATCAAAATTTGAGAGGGTAAAATAGAAAATTAAAAGTTTTAATAACCCAATCCTTTTTTTTATACTAGTATAGATTTGAAAATATTTCCCTCTAATGGTTTGAAGGAGACTAACTATAGCTGCAACGACATCATAGATATGCCAATTAAGCATCATGTGACAGATTATACAAGTGGTTATTACAAAAGTTGGTCGGAAAATTTATTTTTAAGCCTATTTATCTCATCGTCCAAGTTTAAACACTTTGCTGTTGTCGAAGATAACTTTAATATTAATATGTTATTAGGTATTACTTTTAATACCAATCTGTTAATTTAGCTGATAAATAAACTTCCAGTTCCCAACAAATGATAAATCGGAGGGGGGAAAATAGCAGCTGTGAACGGTGTGCGAAGGGCACATTCGTCAATAAGGGGCTGTTTGGTTGATGTATTTGGCATTGAGGGTTAGGCAAAAAGCCTGCCAAAAGAGCACTTTTGGCATGCTTTCTGTCCAACCCCCAATGCCAAATACATCAACCAAACAACCCCTAACGGCAGAATCCTTGTCAACCACGTGGGGTGCACATGAGCATCATCTCGTTACGTGGATGCCAACTCTCTAAATAAGACAGTCTGAGCGCAGCTCAGCTCTATACGTATATACATCTATACGTATGTACAGACACTGAGGAGCTACTATCCAGGCGCATTTATGTCATGTTCACTGTTACGGAGTAATTGCGAGCAGAAATTAATAGAGATGTATCTTTTTATTCACTAGAAAAGAAACTATTCTTAAAAAAGAAAAAACTATTTTGAAAATTAATTATAGTAGGAGTCACTGCAGACCATTTGTATAACATTTAGAGCTATGATGCATCTTGGGGAACAATATTAAATTCAGCTCTTACTTATACTTGTCCAAATTCTGATTGTTCTTGTATTTTTCCCGTTCCAAAAAAAAGCTAAACATGTAAGCGTGAGAAAAAAAAAGAGGTGGCACATTTAATGCTTTAACATTAAAGTCAAAAGTGGGGGGGATTTATTAACCACATTTAAGGTCAATCTCAAAATACCAAAAATACTGGGACATATATGTAAAAAAAGCATTTATTTTTCTATTTTTCCATATTATTTTATTTTTATAAAAACAGACTCAAATATTCTGCAGCTATTCCTAAGTTGTTATGTCGGAATCCGAGGCTCACTCTCCAACTTCTCTCTCTCTAAAAATATTAATTAATAAAAAAAATAAAATTAGTTCCGACTATGTTTTCCATTAAAAAAGTAAAATTTAATTCAATGGTAAATCTTCTTTCCTCGTTCATTCCCTCTCTTTTGTTAATTAAATTCATTCTCTCCTCTTCGTCCTACTCTTTGTTTTTGTTTTTAGAGAGAGAGAGAAAGAGAGAGAGGAAACCCTAGGTTTACAGAGAGAGAAAGAGAGCAATGAGGTCGGAGGCGCGGCTCGATTCGGCGGTGTTCCAGCTGACTCCCACTCGAACGAGGTGATGTGATCTCTCTCTCTCTCTCTCTCTCTCTCTCTCTCTCTCTCTCTCTCTCTCTCTCTCTCTCTCTCTCTCTCTCTCTCTCATTTGTTAGATTAGGCTTTGTTGTGTTCTTGATATAGGGTTTTTGAGATTGAAGAGCTACTGTCTTTTGAAATTCTGATTGGATTTATCGTTAGATTTTTTATGTTTTAAGGTAGATTTCAGATGTCGTCGATGTCTTTTGCCGATCAATTTCTTACCTTTATTGATTTCTACTGTATTCACTCTAGTTCAAAGGTTGAAATTTGAATATTAGGCAATGTCGGTGTTATCGATGATTTGATGTTTTTTCTTTGTAAAGATGGGAGTTGTATGGATGTTTATGGTAAAATTTGGATCTTTTTTCTTTTCCCTACTGAATCACGCAAATGGATTGAGATCACTGGTTCGTGTTAACATGGTTGCCCTTCGGTCCCTCCAAAATCTTTGTTGTAGTATCTAGTTATTTGTGGCAATTTGAAATCTTGGCTTAATTCTAAATTGGCCTTTGTTTCCTCAGATTTGAGTTGGTAATCACAGCTAATGGGAAGTCGGAGAAGCTTGCATCTGGGTTATTAAACCCTTTCCTTGCACATCTGAAGGCTGCGCAAGAACAGATTGCAAAGGGAGGATATTCTATTACGCTTGAACCAGATTCACCAAGTGATGCCTTCTGGTTCACCAAGGGTGCTGTCGAAAGGTCAGTGATCTTCTCAATGCTTTGTCAATATGCAATACACAACATTATTTAGCTGCGTAAATTATTATAGAAATTGATGTCCAAACACATTATTCTATTTAGGTTTGTTCGATTTGTGAGCACACCAGAAATTCTGGAACGAGTTACTACGATAGAGTCTGAGATCTTGCAGATTGAGGATGCAATTACCATTCAGGGCAATGATAACCTTGGTTTGAGCAGTGTAAGTGCTTGAAAATCTTTGATTTTGGTTAGCTTATAAAATTGCAGTTGTGTGACTCTTTTTGCGCGACTTGTCAGTTGGAAAACCATCAAACAAAACCTGCCGGATATATTGAAGGTACATAAAGTTTGCACACTATTTTTTTCTCTTTCCAAAACTCATGTGTCTATCTACATCAAACATCTTTCATACGGGAACAATGTTTTAATGGGCCTGTTGCACGTAGGCCGAAGGTCTACAGAAGTTCAAAGTTTCATCTAATATATTACAGTTTGTCATTAGAATGGTCAACAGGGTGTTGGTTAACGGTGAAAATAGTCATAATTGACCCTCACTGAGAAAATTGGCCATATAAAATCAGAGCTGTTGTTTATACCTGACGTACATAGTTGCATTAATGCATTTTTGAATCATTAATTCGTTGTCTTTGTCTCAAGTCTCAACCATTTCACACCTTTCAGTGATGGCCAGAATAACATGAACATTGAAAATTGTTGTCATTAAATGGACAGCACTGCACTTATTGGGAACTACTCTTTATAGTCCTTGGATTAAACTTCCATGAAAGTATTTCCGCATCTAGGAAGGATTTCAGGTTAAAAAAAAATCAAATAAAGATATGTTTGTATATATTCCGAGGTATTTAATTAATTTTAGCTTTCATTTATCTTATTTGTTCTGTATATGTTAAATTATTAATATGATTATGCTCCAATAGGCAGCAAGCCTGTGTCTGATGCTGATGCGGAAAAGGCAATAGTTCTTTATAAGGTACATATACTTCGATATCATTTCAAGCTAAAGCTTTTTTTGAGACTGTTTGGATTTATTTTTCTTGATCAACGGCAGCCTGGGTCACAGCCAAGTCCTCCAGATTCAAATGGATCCGCTGTGCAGGAAGAGAATTCAAAGTATGTTCCAGTGAAATGCATACTTGATTTCTTTTTCTTACTATCTGCCTTTTACATATTTAAGAGTAGACTATTATGTTTTCTACTCTGTACACCAGGTTAATGTAGAATTTGACATGTTGCAACTAGCAGCTTGAGCAATAGGGAGAAATAAATATTTCATTAGATGGCGACAAGCTTATTTAACTGTACTGGGCAGTGTACTGGTGATAGGGTGGACATACTGATTTTCTGCTGTGTTCTGCCAACATGATTGTGACAATGCAAACAAAGTTGGCTTTCAAATGCACACTTAATACACAAAAGGAAATCTTATAGAAACTTCCTATAATGTCATAATTTCAATGTGTTGCATGTGCTTAAAATCAGCATTTAATAATTTATCACAGATGGTTATTAAATTTTTTTTCTATGCAGGGTTCAACTTTTGAGAGTGCTCGAGACCCGCAAGGTTGTGTTACAAAAGGAACAGGGTATGGCCTTTGCACGTGCTACTGCAGCTGGCTTTGACATGGATCACCTGGCATATTTAGTAACATTTTCTGAGTCTTTTGGCGCATCACGCTTAAAGTGAGTTGCATGTCTTTGATAATTACCTGTTTGAAGAAGCTGTTGCTTTAGGTTCGTCTAATCAGATATTTGATCTTTGGAAGGAGGAAGAGAAAAATATAATTCATATATATTGTATCATTGTACTGTAACTTATGTATGCATTTGCGTCTGAATTGTTTGCAAACTGTATATAAGTTCTAAATGAGAACAGTATAAATAATGACTAGTGTGATCCTGCAACAAGAATACATTACTGATATAACTTATGGTACTTTTAAGAGAATATGCTTTTCAGTTGTGCGTTCTCCTTATTTCATTTCTACCTCTACAGGGAAGCATGCATAAGGTTTATGGAATTGTGGAGGGTAAAACATGAAACTGGACAATGGATTGAAGTTGAAGCTGCAGAAGCAATGTCTACACGCTCTGGGTTTTCTCCATTTAATATTTCAGGTATTGTACTTGCTGGGGATACAAGAAAACAGAAAGAATTTGGGGAAGCACCACCACCTGCATCTGGTGGTGACTTAGGCACAGAAGGCAACGAAAATGATGCAGCCACAGATTACAGCACCAGTAAGTGATCTTGATGCCGGTGCCTATTTATTTGGTTATTTATATTGATGTTACTGCTACATCAATCATTTGATTTCTGTTTGATTTGATTAGATGTGCTGTAGAGTTTTTAATCTGTCGTAAACTTTTCTTTCCGAGTTTTAGGTGAACAAATATTTCATTCAATTTTATTAAATGGACATGGTTTTCTAATATTTTAACCTTTTACAAGGCACCTTCCTTTTGTTTCTTGTATATATAAAATACGGCTTCTACTTTCAGTAAAGTAAAACTACCCAGATTGTGTCATCTGAGATGTTATTGTTTATTGGTGAAGTATTAACTTTGTTATTATTAATGGAAACAGTCATTTTTTTCTGAAGAATTCTATATGGAGTATAATTTTATTTATGGCTTTAAAAACTTTGTAAGATGAACGTTTCTCTGCACTGAGTTCTTTCTGCACCGTCTTTTAGAAGTAGCATCTCTTAAAATTTCAAGACATGCAAACACTGAATCACTCTTATTTGGTGCCTGTCAATTGCTGTGGATTGTTCCTGCTGTCATTCGAAGTCAACTTCTGATTATTTTCCTGGAGCATGGGAAATGATTATTTCTAGTTTTTACGTGACAGATAAAAAGCTTCCTCAGGGTTCACCAGGCCAGAACGAGTATTTTCAAGGTCAATTACAACATCCCACATTCCCACTGTGGGCTATGCATCCTCCATCAGGGCCACCTGTATTTCAACCATATCCCATGCAGGGCATGCCTTACTATCAGAATTATCCGGGAAGTGCCCCATTTTATCAGCCACCTTATCCTCCTGTAGAGGATCCTAGGTTCAGTACCCATAAGAGAATAGGCAGAAGGCACTCTATGACCACTAAATATAATGATGTAGATTCAGAAAGTTGCAAAGATGATGCAGATCAAAGTTTATCAGAGTCTGAGAAAGAAGCATCTCATGGTCGTAAATCATATAAAAGGGTTGGTCGATTAGGGAAAAAGAATCCTGGTGTAGTTGTCATTGAGAACATAAATGTCAAATCAAAGAAACATGAAAAGTCAGGTGATGAATCAGAGTCAGTTTCTACCACTGATACTGAAACTGAGGATTCTCATTCCGATGATGTTGGAAGAAAGCATAAGAAATCATCCAGGTCATCAAAAAAGAACGAAGATCGTAAAAAATCTCCAGAATATAATTCATATGGCCAGGATGAAGTAGTTTATGGTAATGATGCAGACTCTGGAAACTGGCAAGCATTTCAAAGTTTCTTATTAAGAGCTGAAGAAAAGATGACAACCACTGTTGATGGAGACATGTTTACTGGTGAGAAAGAGCCTAAAATAAAGAGTAAACAGAACTTAAGTGAAGCGGAACCTTCCCTTACTCCTGAGCGAGATTCTGGTATTACTAGTGAAGCAAGGATCGTTGAATTTGATTCAATGAATGGGAAGGGAAGTCGAGCAAGGAAGGTGACTTCAAATGACGAATTGCTAACCTCAAGCGAAGGTAGAGCTTTCAGGGAAGGCCATCTTGATGCTCAGTTCCTAGAAGTAGAAGGTGGAGGTGGAGGATACCGAAGGGTGACTTGTGATGATTTCATGATCTATGGGCAAGGAAACCAAATAAGCAGTATGAGTTCTTCGGACCCATTTTCTGAACATGGGTATGAGCATTCTGGCAATTTGGGGAAGAGCTCATATGTTGCAACTGATGAGTCCTTCATTGTTCCCATTAGGTCAGGTTCTCAGGGTCAACCTGAAATGGACAATAGATCTGCTATTGACATGGATTTGGAGTTCCCCTCATCTCTTGAAAGAAAAGATTCCTCCAACAATGGAAATAACCAGCTCAACTATGAACCGTCCGATCTCATTATGATGCCTGAGCGTGCAATTGAGAGTGAATATGTTGGTTATGATCCAGCTATAGATTACGATATGGAGGTACCTGTTGGAGTTGCTGCCAAGCAAGAAACCAGAGACCAAGAAGATGTCTCAACAAGCACCAAAGAGGAATTGAAAAAATCTAATAAGGAGAAGAAGCTTAAAGCTCCACAGAGTGCACTGGAGAAAAGAAAGAAAGATGCACTGATGAGGAGAGGAACACCCTTGATGTCAAGCCCCTTAACTGAAGCACAAAAACGTGCAGAGAAGCTACGAGCCTACAAAGTTGATCTTCAGAGAGCAAAGAAGGCAAATGTATATCTCTCGTTTTTTATTTTGTGCCACTTTTGTAGGTTCTTTACTGGGGAGAATTTGATTGTTGGTCCAAAGGATTTTAGGTTATAAGCTCCATCCCTGATGGTGCAGACTAATTAAAGCTATAAAGCAAATTGTAGAAAATGGTGCATTAAACATTTAAACAAAATTATAAGTGTCGTATTTCAACTTGTTTAACCAACTGTGTCTACATTTAAAGAAAATTATAAGTGTCGTATTTCAACTTGTTTAACTGACTGTGTCCCACAATACGCGTTCCCCACAGGAAGAAGAAGAGAGGAAACGCTTGGAGGCTTTGAAAATAGAAAGACAGAATAGAATAGCTGCAAGAACCACTTCAAATTCTGTTCATTCACCATTAGCTGCAAAGAAGATTGCATTGTCAACAAAGGTTTCACCAAGCTCTTTCAAAGGATCAAAATTCAGTGATGCAGAGCCAGGATTAAAGTCACCTATTCAAAAGCTGCCTATCAGGAGCAGTTCAATAGGGTCTAATGATTTTCAGAAAACCGCTAAAACCAGTAGATCAATTGTCAGTGCTAATGGGTTAACCAAATCAGTATCATCATTGCCTGAGTTAAAGAAAGAAATCAATGATATCACATCCGAAGCAAAAGCAGTTGCTCCTCATACTAAAAGACTTTCTGATCCCAATGTGAGAAGTGTGCAGCATGCCCCACAGACATCAGTAGCTACTGATCAGATGCCAAAAAGAAACTTTGCCAATGGGTCTCAAATGAAAAAGATCTCTGCGATAGTGCAGCTGGATAAAACCAAGTCAGCAACTCTACCAGAGTTGAAGATTAGGACATCGAGAGGCCCTTCTGGAGCAGTCCAGAGTCAGGCCATCACAAAAGAGTTAACGCAGCAAGAGTTTGGAAATGTCCGAGAAAACAAGACCAATGATAATCCCCCAAGGGTTGGTAACACTGATGACAATCCACTAATTGAGAAGACTGTTGTGATACTTAAAGAGGAAAGGATCAGTAGTCCTGCCCTTCCAGTATCTGAAGATATGGGAGGGACAACTGATGATGCAAAGTTGCAGGCTGGGCCTGATTCAGAACATGCAGCTAATCGTGCTCCACCTTTGCCTATTATTATGAGGGAACTTGAGGATCCAAATCAACATAAGCCGAATGAACAGGTGGATTGCGATAAGGTATATTCTAAAAGTTATTTGACCCTTTAAATTGAAGTTTTAATTTTGTTACATAATTAGTACTTCATTCCATTTGGATCTTGGTTTTTCTCTTTCTTTGGAGAGGGAGATGTTTTTCTCCTTTGCAAAATTTAGTTATCTTCCCTCTTCTTCTAGACTTTGTCTTAGTGAACAAGTTTCTCTCGGATTACATAACCAATAAGGTGAGAATTATTACCTGACAATTAGAGCCTACTAGTTTATGCAGTGTTATAGGTTTCTGAATACAGAACTGTGTTTCATAACCAATCATGTATAGATGGAAAAGATTCAAATATGCATTGGTTAATGTTATAGATGATGTTTCTGTTATAATAACCAACCATATTTTTAAGGCTTTTCTTTTCTCTTTATATTGTGGGTTTGATGTCTCATTTCATTTTCTTTTGTCAACAGGTAGTAAATGGTTCTAAAAAAGACAAATTCCAGAATATCTCGCAGTCTCTCAGTGGAAACTATTATCAAGCTCCGTTTGCCAGAGCAACATCAGTGGATGATCCTGATACCAGTAATCTTGAACGCACTGGAGCACTGAATATGCAGTCAGAATTAACTTCAAATAGCAAGGAATCCATTAAGGTATGTGTATCTGATTTTTCAGATTCATGTTTGATAGATCAAGCCAATGGATCAGTTGAGAGGCCTCGGAACAAAGAACCCAAAGGTTTCAGGAAGCTATTGAAATTTGGGAAAAAGAGTCACATCTCAGCTTTAGGTGAGGGTAATGTGGATTCATATGGATCAGCTGCTAATGAGACAGAGGTGGCGTCTTCTAATGATGGTAAGATCTTGCAGCTCCTTTTAAGGCAGAGCACTTTATGGACCCATCAAAGCTTTGTTGGACTCTTTTTGTCAAATATTTAGCTACTAATTTTCTTAAATTGTTACGTATTAATCTTAAACAATAGAAGTTGGCAGAACACTGAGCACAGTTCTTATGGAATATCCACATTTTCCGTATTACTTTTTCTCACACCATATAGCAACTTGGTACAAAGTCCAAAGTTTGGCACCAGACGAGTCTTATCGATATACACTTGCTACCTTGGATTTGCATAACTTGGTTAACTTTTTCAATTGAAACTTGAACCATACCTGAAACTATATTGTCAATTAGCATAGTGAGATGACAGTGTATGAGACTTCCTTCTTTTCATATTAAGTTTCTTTTTGTCGCCCTCTAAGTTGCATGGGAATGGGTACAGGTGCGGGTATGGGTATGAGTACGGTAAAATTGTAAAATGGAGGGTATGGGGACACAACTACATATATATATTAAAATTAATAATTTTTACATGAGATCATTATTTGAATTCATGTGTTATTAGGACTAAAATTCCTATCACATTGTAAGTTTCTTTTATTATGTTAATTATTATAACTTAGAAACTACTTGTTTTTGAACTAGACACCCAAACGACCCTTTAAAATCATATTTTTGAACTTGGCTATGGGCTGAAACAAACCCGATCGATGTCTAACAAGCTTTAAGAAATGGATTTGTAGTTTAGGATATACGTCCAAGTATTTGACGAGTGTTTTAAACCGAAACATATATCATATAATTGCGTAAACGTCTGAATAAATGTATGCATACGTCAAGTGTCCATGAAGTTTGTGTAAGTGTACGTGTTGGGTATGTGTTCGGTACGGGTATGGCTTCATGATAGAAGTACTTGGGTAACATAGGTCGCCCTTCAAGGGCGGAGCCCAACCCGAATTTTGTGAATTTAAAGGATGTATCATATGTTGCCCAACCTGAATGTTGCGAAGTTAAATGATATATCATATGGTTTGTACCCAAGCTATGCCATGTGCAGTGCTCTATTCACCCAATCTCTTGTCATACAAATTATTCTACAATCATTCAATGTCTATATAAAACTACAGAAAACTTTCAATATAATAAATATACTTAGCGCTTGGGAATGATGATGAGCTGAGAATTTTTGTAAGAAAAATTAAGAGAAAAAATATAGCTTGCATGCAACTTGTTATGAAATGACATATTTCAATTTTGAAAAATCATGCTTGATGGTGTTACCGTGTTAGGGCCCAAGCTAGATCAAAATCCTGGCTCCACCCATGTCGCCCTTATTTTTTGAGGTCATTCTACATAAATATTTATATACCATGTCACAAGGAAAGGTATGTGAGCAAATGACAAAAACACTTCACAGCAATTGCCACGTCATAAATTTTCAAACATAAAAAATAAACTGCTTCTTTGGTTAATTATTGAATTCATGTGCATGATCAGTGAGCTTCTTCTATGCAATCCCTATCTCACTGATAACTTTTCATCTTTCAGTTCACATCCTGAAGAATCTTATTTCTCAAGATGGTGCTCATTCTGGAGGCACTCCACCTAAAGGTTAAATACACTACCTTCCTGATCCTAGTCTTATCATGCTAATGTAGAAGTCCTAATGATATCTTATATACTTGCAATATTGAAAGTTATTCTGAATGGTTAACTTGTTCTGTATTTATGCTTACCTTTTTATTTAAATGTTATTCTTCAATCGTTTTTTCTGAATTTATGAATGATGCAGAAAATTTCACAATTATAATAAAGCATTTTTTTCTCGTGTTCTTTTTGGAGCTTTATCTTATGAGTACTGAAATATTCACAAAACTCACAACCAACTATTTTTTGTACTCAATTGTGTGATCATCCTTGTTGCCGTGCAATTCTTGTCATGAGTGAAATAACAGTTGAACCTAGACTTTTAGTGATATAATATGTGGTTGGTGTTACTCAACAATCTTCTATTTTTGTTACAGTTCATCGTCCCTTTTCCATTCTTTCACCTTTCCGCAGCAGCAAGAGCAGTGAGAAGAAGCTGGCAGCAGGAGTTTGAGGGAACCAAATTTAACATTGTCAGAGAGTTGTGTATGAGTTTTGGAACGAGAAAGATGCTGTCGAGGTTCAGTTGCTCTTTTCCTCCTTTATTCATTGTGTTTGTAAACAATTTTCTGTAAAAGTTGTATCTGTCCTAAATAATTTAATGTCTATATCCTGCGCGCGTTTGTTCGTAATTAATTTTGTAGTGTAACTGTCGATTGAATTGATCAGTGAATGTGACTGGTGACTGCAATTAGAAATGTGCATCTCAAGAGCCATTTTTCGGTCACTTCCTCATATTTCTTTCCGAGTGTGATGTTGCCTTGGATTGTTGAAAGAATTCTCAAAAAAGTTCAGAAAAATTGAAGAAGTAGATGTTATCTAGCTCTAGTTCTTTTATAATGTGCTTTTTCTGCAACAAAGTATGTGTTACGTGAATCATGAATCCAATATTGATAGCTAAGTTCATGTTACAGAGGATCAGGTACATCTGTGGTTTATTGGACTGAGTATATACTCAGTCACTATCTCAAGGATACAGCACCAATTCTACTATAATCAGGTAATTTCACTTTTATCTGAACTTCTGTTCAGTAATGAAATAAGAAATTTCCGACAGTTACATTGTTAAGTTCCTGGAAAATTTCAGTTTGAATTGTTGTATTAAGTGAAATAAAGTAGCAAAGATTAAAAGAACATGGAATTTATATCGTTCCTGCACTTTGATGTTATGCTTATAGGATTGTGATTCTAATTTACTGCTTGGCATGAATTGACTCGTCTTATATACTAGTCAACCAAACAGAAACCAAAATCACACTTTGGCTTCTTGGCCTCTACTATCCTTCAGAATTATTTAAGAAAAAATTGTAGGAACATATTGCCAAATATTTATTATAACTAATCACGTTAATTACTTCTTTAGTGCATGTATGTTACTTTTTACTAGAGATACTACATTATCGACCATTTCTAGGTTCAGTGCACAGAATTAATTCAAGTATCCTAGCGAATATCAGGGTTGCCTACGAGTTAAATACCAAATCCAATGAAATCTTGCATAAGAAAGGTTCTCATAACCTTCGTTCTTCTGTCATTTTGTATTATTACTTGGAAAGCCACAATTAGCTTTAAGAAGACTAAACCTTCGTCTGAATCAATAGCCAAACACTCAACAAACTGCAGTTTTCTTTTTTCGCAACTTCTTATCTTTTTAGGCTTGCCATCATCCTAAGACCATTGGCCTAAGGATCTTTGACTTATTTTCATTTGGGTGCTAAGGTTGATTGTAGACTTCTCTTATACTGTCCTTGATAAAAACGTAACTCTAATAGCAATCTTAAACTAGTACCCTGAAGACTGCCTTTTACTCCATCTAAGAGTAAACTTTCTTCTTCAATGTTTGAGGCCTAGGTTATCAAACTTTACCTACCGAATCATGTCTCTTGATGTTGTTCAAACCTAATGAAAGAAAGATTGAACTAATGATGTTGCCCATGGAAATGTAGAAAAATTTTCTCTATAACTCGTCTTCTTACTGAAGTTAAGTACTATGAGAATTCCATTAGAATCCTGCAATTTCCTTGTTATTTTGAGGTGTTCTGGTAGTTTATCTGTGCAGCACTAAAGTCTTTTATTCTATCAAATTTTTCCTTGTGTTTTTTGTGGTTAATTAGTTTAGAGGAAGAGCAGATCAGTTATCAAGACCAAGATGGCTTTTAAATTTCTGCAATTCCTCAAGGTGTTTTTTTGTCACTTTTCTTGTAAACAGGACAGTAGACATGCGTGTACATGTTTCTATCGAAAATAAAATTTTTGCAAATTTTTTGTTACTTGGCAATTAAGGTGGGAAGATATCTAAAAAAAATATCATGGATGAACCCGTGGCGAAGGAGAGAAAAGTTTGGCAGGGCATTTCACATGGCTTTCATGTCATTGAAAGGGGAGACGAAACTCAGGACCTTATTCTTGCTCAAAGGGAACAAGCAGATGACCTCGAGCTTTGGCTTTTTGGAGCATTTGATACGAACGTGGGATATCCAATCAGAAAATACTTGCAATCGAACATATTCAGCAATAAAGTTAATGAGGTAAATCGCGATAATCACTTAACCTTGATATTTGATTTAGATTTTAGACTACTCATAAAAAGCTGGTTACGTCAACTTTAACATAGTTTGTTTTCCATAGGGTCAAATTGAAAGGAAAGCAAAGGATACTATGAAGAAATCCTACTTAATCACAAAAGACTGTGCATGAGGGAGACAAACATGAGGATGGAGGTTTCACAACTGCACTTGTTATGAATGCGGAGAAAATTGTTGTAGCAAGCTTTGGTGGATACAAAGCTGTATTGTGTAGAGGGGATGTGGCCATACAATTAGGAAAGAAGCATCGAAGAGTTCAGAAGGGGTTTTGGTCCTTATTAGGTATATGCTTTCCTAGGTGTCTATTTGTAGAATTGATTAAGCACTGATTTATCTTCTAGCGTCAAACAGTTACGTACTTAAGATCGTAACTACTGTGCGTCTTCTTAAAAAAGTATTGTTTCAGTCCATTTTTCCTGATGCTAATCACTAATCAATATACTAATCCTTTATAAATTCGAGCTATGATGGATTATTATTTACTAATCTCAATTGTTAGTTCCTACTCTTTTCAATATGATGTGGAGAGAGATGAATTCTTATTCAATTGTAAATAATGTGCATATAGGTGCATTCCACTTGAAATATCTTACTGAGAACGGGAAGAAGTCACGGAAGAACACAAGACTCGGTGTCAGCACCCATAAAGTGGAACCCGAGTTTGAGTTCATCGTGTTAGCTAGTGATGGCATATGGGAGGTGATGAGTTATGAAAACCTTAGATATTATCACTTAAACTTTCTTTAGTTAAGCTGTGATACTTAATGAGCAAATTTTGGTACATCTATTCTAGGTGATGAGTAACCAAGAGGCTGTGAACCTAATAAGTCACATTGAAGATGCTCAAACTGCAGCGGAGGTTCTTGCGTTGGAAGCCGTGACAAGAATGAGCAAATCAACAATCTCATGTGCTGTGGTTCGTTTTCATTGATACTACTAGTATTTTCGGTGTTCAGTGTCTTACAAATAGATCGCGGTTGTTATGCGCTACAGTAACATTTTTCTCTGCTTTATTCTCATTCACCATCGGTAAAGAAATACTTCGCATTGTTATTGGCTCATGGTAAACTAGTGTTGTATTGCTGGAAAATATTGACACTGGCAACTTAGAAATAGCCTACATTTACATATCCATATACTGTTGATGCTGATGGTTGAGTGTGGATCTTTCCAAACCAACAAAGACTGCCAATAAGTATGAAGCTTAAAGCTTCACGAAACATTGTTTCATTTTTTTTTAAAATCTAGTAGCTGTAGGTTAAAAGTCAGCCAAACACATTTAAAAAAGCAAACATACACTCTCTGCAAAAACCCAAGTCCATTTGTTGTGGTGTAGAACAACAATGGAGAATTCCCTTCATCTGCCTCTATTTCCTGATGACATCTTGTTGGAGATCTTTTCCAGACTTCCTGTTAAATCCCTTCTCCGTTTTCAGTGCGTCTCAAAATCTTGGCTTGCCCTCATCTCCACCTCCAACAAGAATCTGCCACTGGCCATGGCCGGTTTCTTCTACATAAACAACAACGCAACGCGATTCAAGAGCCTTGGTTCAAGAACCTATATAGGTACTAATTCCATCGACACCACTCTCTCTTTCTTGACATCCCTCCATGGCAATCTTGATGTCATTGATTGTCGTAATGGTTTGTTGCTTCTCATGAATCCAAATTCTCTGTATGTATGCAATCCTGCAACTCAGAAGTGGGCTATTCTCCCAAAACCCTACAAGAAGTCTGCAGAATTAGTATTAGCCTTCGATCCCCAAAGTTCTAGCCACTACGAGATCATCTCCTTTCCCCCTGTAGATCCTGTTGAGCTTGGAGCCATCGGAGTCGAAATATTTTCATCTGTAACATGCCAGTGGACTGAGGTCCAGAGGTACTACAGGATCAATAACATTAGTTTTGCTCGCTTTGGTTTTGCCTTCTTGAACGATATCTTTTACGTGTTAACTGAATGCGGACTCACTTTTCGAATGGAGGAGGATTGTTGTGGAGAAGTTTATCGGCCTAACATGGGCTCCTGGCTCGGAAGGAACACGGGTTTTATCGGGCAGTCACAGGGTTCTTTGTATCATACAATGATTGTATCGGGAGAATTGTTTGTATGGGCTGAGGATTCTCCCAAGAAATACATGAAGGCTTCAAAATATGTTTTGAAGCATAGGAACAACATTAGAAATTTAGCAGCAGAGCTGCTGGGGGTCGGACATCAGCTTCTTTCAGACGATCGGTTTCGTATATTGAGTTTTCATTCAGACCTGGATGTGATTTTTCTCAAGTTACAAGGTAAGTTGTTTTCCTACCATTTGAAGAGTGCTAAATTGGAGGAGATGTGCAGTTTTGAGGGGAACAGGCCATGTTTTGCTTACTCCCCTTGTTTTTCTGAAGATCTGGACCTTTCAACATCAAATCCTGATATACTTTGATGATACACAAGGAATTTTGAGAACAGGGTCGAGCTTGGAGAGGTTGGGGAGATCTATCATGCTGCTAAATATTTGATTAAACCCTAAGGGGGAGTCAAATGCCTTTAGGTGAAGCCTTGAACAGTTCAAACTTTCTTTCCGTTGAATAGGAAGATAATGACAGGTTCTGTAGTTACACCATAAGGTGACATTTCATACTTGGCTTGCTAAAATATGATGAGGGATGCAATCAATAGTTTTCTCTTTTTTATGTTTTCCATAACCAGCATATATTTCTTGATGATATTTGCTCTTGGATTATAGCTCATGAAATCGTGAATTTGGCCTCCTAAGAAATTATTTACCAACGGATCGAAGCAACTAAAAATGACCAAATATTATGAGTGATAACCCAATGAAATCATAAATTTTAGCCCTCTCGAAATTATTTGCTAATTGGTGGAAATGAACAAAAATGGCCAAAATTTATGTGTTATAGCTTTTAAAATTGTAAATTTTCACCACCAAGAAATTATTTGCCAACGTGTCAAATGAACTAAAAATGGCCAAAATCATGGGTGTTAGCCTATGACACCATAAATTATTTACTAACAGGTAAAAATGAGTATAAATAGCTAAAAATATGGATTATTGCCCATGAAATTATATATGTTATCATCCGTGATGTTTTTTTACCAATAGGTCGAAATGACTAGAAATGGTCAAAAATCATGGGCTATAGCTCACAAAATTGTAAATTTCAGTGTCTGTAGAATTACCTGTAGAATTATCTGCCAATGCATTGAAATGAACAAAAATAGCCAAAAATTATGAGTTATAGCTAATGAAATCATGAACATTGACCAATCGCCAGATTATTTGGCAATGGGTGGAAATTGCTAAAAATGACAAATAGCCTTGAGTTATAGCTCATGAAATCGTGAATTTTGATCTCTGCAGAATTATTTAGCAATGGGTCAAAACAAAGGAAAATGGTAGAAAATCGTGGGTTATAGCTTATAAAATTATGAATTTTGGTCCTAACAGAAGTATGTGCTAATGGGCCAAATAGAATAAAAAAGGCTAATAATCATTGGTTATAGGTCATGAAATCATGAATTTTAGTTTCTACGAAATTATATACAAATATGTCGAAACAACTAAAAACCGTAGGTTATAGCTCATGAAATCCAGAATTTTGACCTCCGCGAACCCAACGGATCAAAACGACTACAAATGGTAGAAAAAACATTTTGGATTATAGCTCGCAAAATTATGAATTTTGGTCCAGGGATTTATGTGTTAATTGGTTGAATTGAATAAAAAAGGCTAAACAATGTGGGTCATAGCTTAAGAAACTGTGATTTTAGTCTTTACGGAATTATTTGACCATTGCTCGAAATGACTAAAAATGGCCAAAAAGTGGATTATGGCCTATGTAATTATCAATTTTGGCCTCCATGATATTATTTTCCAATGGATTGAAATGACTAGAAATGATGAAAAATCGTGGGTTATAGCTTAAAAAATCATGAATTTTAGATTTTTAAGAAAGGTGAATAATAGTCTACTAGAACTTTTTTGACAATGGGTTAATATGAACAAACTATTGCCAAAAATCATGGGATATAGCTCATAAAGTTATACATTTTTGGTTACCATGAAATTAGTCGTAAATAGATTAAAAGGAATAAAAATAGCCAAAATTGTAGATTATAACTTGTAAAATCAATACTTTTAGCGTCATCAAAACCAATAGGCTGGAATGCCTAATAATGACCAAAAATCTTGGATTATTACTCATGATATCGTAAATTTTAGCCTCATAAAAATTATTTACTAATGGGTTGAAATAATTAAAAATAATAAAAAATCTTGGGTTATAATCCATGAAATTATAAATTTTGGCCTTCGCGTAATTATTTGCTAGCGGGCCGAAATGACTAATAATAGCTAAAAATTATGAGTTATATAGCCCACAACATCATGGATTTTGCCTCCGCCTAATTATTTTACAATGGATTGGAATGACTAGAAATAGCCAAAAATCATGGATCACAACTCACCAAAAGTTTTAGATTTCAAAAAATCACGAATAATAGTCTGCTAAGAATTATTTGACAATGGGTCGAAATGGACAAAATATAGCCAAAATTATGGGTTACAGCTCATGAAATTTCGCATTTTGTACATTATGAAATTATTTTCGAATGGATTGTAATGACTACAAATAGCTAAAAATCATAGGTTATAACTCATGAAATCAATAATTTTACATCAGCCAAAATCAATAGGCCGGAACGATTAAAATTTACTAAAAATCTTGGATTATAACTCATGAAATTATAAATTTTGCCATCCAAGAAATTATTTGCCAAGAGCTTGAAACAGTTAAAGATGATAAAAAATCATGGGTTATAGCCTATATAATTGTAAATTTTTGCATCCTTGTAATTATTTACTAATGTGTTGAAACTAAAAATGGCTAAAATTTACCGGTTATAAACCACAAAATTATTTTTTTTCCTCCATGAAGTTATTTCCCAATGCGTAGAAATGACTAGAAATGGAAAAGATTGGTGGATTATAGCTCATAAAATCGTGAATTTTAGTCACTGTTAAATTATTTGACCACGGGCCGGAATGACTAAAACTGACCCAAAATTATGAGTTATAGCACATGAAATAGTAAATTCTGACCTCCCCAAAGTTATTTGCCAACAGCCCAAAATGACAAAACATGACCAAAACTCATGGGTTATAGCCTATGAATCATAAATATTAGCCTCCACGAAATTATTTACAGTTAGCTCAAAACAACTAGAAATGGCCAAAGTCATAGGTTATAACTTATGAAATTATGAATCTTAGTTTACGAGTAATTTTTTGACAGTGGGTCAAAATAAATAAAAATGGTCAAAAATCATGAGTTATACCTTCTAAAATTGTGAAGTTTGGCAACCGTGAAATTATTTGGCAAAGGATCAAAATAACTAAAAATCATAGATTATAGCCCATGAAATCATAAATTTTTGCCTCCTTGAATTTATTTGCTAATGATCAAAATGCCTAAAATGGCTAAAAATTATGGATTGTAGCCAATGAAATTGTGTATTTTAACCTCCGTGAAGTTATTTTCCAATGGGGCAAAATGACTCAGAATGGCAAAAAAATATCGATTACAGCTCACATTTATGAATGTTGATCTCTGCTTAATTATTTATCAAAGTGTCGAAACAAACAAAAATGGCCAAAATCACGGGCTTATAGATTATGAAATCATGAATTGGCAACCGCGAGATTATTTGACAGTGGGTGGAAACGATTAAAATGGCCAAAAAATATAGGCTATAACTCATAAAATTATGAATTTTGGTCCCTCTAGAATTATTTGGCAATCAGTCAAAATGAAGAAAAATGGTCAAAAATCATGGGTTATAGCTCAAGAAATTGTGAAATTTAGTCCTTGAATAATTATGTGCTAATGGATCAAATAGAATAAAAAATGCTAAAAATCATGGGTTATGGCATACGAAATAATGAATTTTGGTCCCCTCAAAATTATTTATAAAATTTTCAAAATGACTATAAATGAAAACAATTGTGGGTTATATCATAGGAAATGAGAATTTTGGCATCCATGAAAGTAGCTGGTCAAAATGACAAAATTGACCAAATTATAGGTTATAGCTCACGATCATTGTGGGTTATAGCATAGGAAATGAGAATTTTGGCATCCACGAAAGTAGCTGGTCAAAATGACAAAAATTGACCAAATTATAGGTTATAGCTCACGAAATTATGTGCAATGGGACAAATTAAATAAAAATGGTCAAACGTCATGGTTTATAATAACCCATAAAATTATGAATTTCAATCTGTGCAAAATTATTTTCCAATGTATCAAAACAACTGAAAATAACAAAAAATCATGCATTATAGCTCATGAAATCATAAATTTTAGCATTCTCAAAATAGACAGGTCAAAACGACTAAAAATGATCAAAAAATATTACTTATAGCCCATGCAATTATAAATTTTAGCCTTTGTGAAATTATTTGTTAATGGGCCAAAATGGACAAAAATGGCCAAAAATTATTAGTCAAAACTCATGAAATTATGAATTTTGGCCACAAAGTAAAATTATTTGTCAACAGGTTGAAATAACTAAAAATAATAAAAAATTATGGGTTATATGCCCATGAAATCGTAAATTTTTGCCTCTTTAAACTTACTTGCTAATAGGTCAAAATAACCAAAAACAGATAAAAAGTATGGGTTATACCCCCACGAAATTGTGTATTTTATCCTCCGAAAGGTTATTTCCCAATGGTCGAAATTTCTAGAAATGGCTAAAAATTGCGGGTCATAGCTCACAAATCATGAAATTTTGTCTTTGTAGAGTTATTTGTCAATGCCTCACAACAAACATTAGCCAAAAGCTCATGAAATATTGACTTTTAGCCACCGTGAGATTATTTGACAATAGGTGAAAATGAATAAAAATGGCAAAAAATCATGGGTTATAGCTAACGAGATAGAAATTTTGAGTCTCCGCAAAATTATTTAGCAATGGGTAAAAATGAAGAAAAATGGTCTAAAATAGTTGGTTATAGCTTAAAAATAATGAATTTTGTTCCTCGCGAAACTATGTGTCAATGGGTCGAATAGAATAAAAATTGCTTAGAATCGTAAGTTATATCTCACAAAGTCGTGAATTTTGGTATTCATGAAATTATTTGCAAATAGGTTGACTAAAAGTGATAAAAAATCATAAGTTATAGTTTATAAAATCAAATATTTTGTTTTTAGTAAAATCAATGGGTCAATAAGACCAAAAATGGGCAAAAATTATAGGTTATATTTGATGAAATTGTGAAGTTTAACCTATACGGAATTATGTGCTAATGGGCCAATTTGAATAAAAATAGCCATACATCGTGGGTCATAGCCCACCAAATCGTGAATTTCAATCTTCGCAAATTTATTTCACAACAGACCGGAATCACTAGAATTGGCATAAAATCGTGAGTTTAGCTCAAGAAATCGTAAATTTTGGTCTCTGCAAAAATATTTAACCATGGTCAAAATGAGTAAAAACAACCAAACTGTGGATTATAGTCCATGAAATCATAAATTTTGGCATCTGCAAAATTATTTTCTAATGGGCCAAAATGATAAAAATAATAGCTAAAAATTATGGGTTATAGCCAATAAAATTAATAAGTTTGCCCTCT